ATAAAAACGTAACCCAAAAAATAAAAATTAGGTATCTAAGATATCTATGATTGGCCATGAAAGATGGTATAGTTTTTGCTATTGTTCGGCATAACATGAAATTTCAATGGGTCAGAACGTGTCTGAACTGTTGCAGATCCAACTTCATTGTCGGGTGTTTGTTTCTGAAAAGTCTGTCATGCTGCATGTTCACGGCATTGTCACATCTCTCACAATAAGTCACATCATGAATACATCATTGTTATTTCTACAATTGTTAAACTTTGGGATGACATCACAATCGTGATTGACAATGATTATGACTGTGAATTATTCTTGTCCCAATTATTAACCATGTTTATCCCAATTATTACTATCATAATAATTACCATTCTGAACCAATTATTACTATCTCAATTATTCACCATTATTACTATCCTAATTATTTACCATTATTATCCCAACTATTAACCAATGGGATATTTACTATTATACTACCATTACCAATTATTACCAATTACCACTATTAACCATTTTTTAGCCGTTATTAGCAATTATTAACCAGTATTTAGCCATGGTTAATCATTATTTGCCATTGTTATTACCATTATGAACCATTATTATCATTCTTTCCCTGGTCCCTTAATTTCTTGCCCCAACGTGCAGCTCAACGCCAGGACTCTGCGGCTTGTAGCTGCAGTCAGTGCGTCGGTGAACGCCGAAATGAAGGCGGGGAAACGGCAGCTTTCATTGGGGGTAGCCCAGCTGGATGGTTTACCCTCTGGTAAACTAAGATAGCTATGGAAAATCCACCACTGTCAAATACTTTTAATAGGTAGATCAACTATAAATTGCAACGTTCAATAGTTAATTATGTTAAATTACCAGAGGGTATATAGCCGTTCTAATCAGAACCTTCGAAAATGGATGATCTAAAATAGGGTATATAGCCGTCCAATGGGGGGATGATGGGTTTACCATTTCAGCTTTGGCGGACTCCCTCCTAATTAATCAACCCGGGTTGATCAATCCGGGTTTGACAAGTTAACTTTATGGGTCGAACTTGAAAACCACGCACGCCACAGACCAAGATCTTTGAAACTTGAGAATCAAAATCATCAAAATCATGTTGCTGAAAGGAAGTCCCAAATTGACCCGAAGCCAGCTTCCAAAATCATTTGGAGCTTCAGACACATCATGGGGCACACCTCAGAAACTGCTATTGGTATGGCAAGACCAGCATATCATGACTTGCCTAGAAACACGAGGGTCAGCGTGCCCTTCGCCAAAGCTTGAACATGCTAGAAAGCGAAAACCCTAGGCATTTGTCAATCGGAATACTGACTCAAACACATGTCAAACACATGTTTTCATTTTGAACCTTTCAGTATGAAGAGAAAACACAAACGATGGGCAAACACAAAAGGTGAACAGGCTGCAGAGCAATCATCTAATCCCAAGCGAGTCCCATTAGTACATGTCACATCATTTTTTCACTGGGCTGATTGAATGGACACGTCGCGACGATGAGCAGGAAACCATGGTGCTTATAAAGGATGAACCGGTCATAGCATATTAAGGCTGAACCAGCCCAAACATGGAGATGTGAGCAACCAAAGGTTGGAATTCAAGCAACCAAACTGGGGATCGCACAAAAAAAAACGTGATCCAAAGTGGTAATTTTTCATTAACCCATCCATTTCCCATCATTTTTCCTATATTTGTTGCTTCAACCATGTTTGAACAAACCACATCTTTTCTCGGTAACTTCCCGGGCATAAGAGCCAGGCGGCGATGGCACGGTGAGCTTCCAGTGCTTCCCACGCAGCTCCGGTGGCGTTCTCCGTTGGTTTAAGGGAAATTCATGTGAAAACAAAGGGGATTATAGCAGAAAAAAAAAAAACGTTACAGGATGTTGAAAGCTCGAAGTAATCCCCAGAATCATCCACATTTTTTTTCATGATCCAGCGATGCCAGCTACCTTGATGTGTTAGTAGGGTACCAGACCCAGATGGTCGGTCCAAAGAAAACCCCGCATGCATTGACGCACAAATAGGGAATCAGATATATGGCGATTTTACCAACACAAATCCATGACCAGGACAAACTAGTAGTTTATTGTGTACTATTGTGGTGATTGATGATGATGATGATGATGATGATTAATTATTATTATGTTATCGTTATTATTATCATTGGGATAGTATAGTAACCCTGGGCATTTCACTTTAGCTTGGCTTGCACCTTAACACTGCCAATGCATTGCCGGCCCAGAAAACGATAAGAGTAAAAACAAGTGATAACGCACTTATACATGTACATGTTTGTGCCTACGGCAGGAAAACCGTACGTGCGTTTTGCTTCTTTTTTGAGTATTGCTCTTTGTCTTGGGGTTGGGGTGGGGTGGGGGGGCATGTTAACGTTCCTTGTACTTCGTACATGATATATTGCCATGTTGCTAAGATCTCGGGGATCTTTTACTACGTTACGTGTTGCTACGCTGCTGAGATCTCTAGTGTGGGTTGGGGTTCCTCGTACTTCGTACAGGATATATTGCCATGTTAGTGTGGGTTGGGGTTGGGGTGGGGTGGGGTGGGGGCATGTTAACGTTCCTCAAACTTCGTACAGGATATATTGCGATGTTGCTAAGATCTCTGCGATCTTTTACTACGTTACATGTTGCTACGCTGCTGGTATCTCTGAGATAGTTTCCTACGTTACAGGTTGCTACGCTACTGAGATCCTTGGGATCGTTTACTACGTGACATGTTGCTACGCTGCTGAGATCTCTGGGATCTTTTACTACGTTACATGTTGCTACGCTGCTGAGATCCTTGGGATCGTTTACTACGTGACATGTTGCTACGCTGCTGAGATCTCTGTGGAATTTGGCTAAAAAAATTGTCCCTAGCAATTTGCAGACAAAGGCAGGGCAGAACAAAGATGTCATGCTATACCTGCGTTGCTGGCAGTGGCGTTATGAGTGCCATAATGGCAACTTGCTGTCGAAGACAGCTTCCACACTGATGGATCGCTGAGCCGACGAAGAGTGTGAAAAAATATCTGCGCATCCACGTCTGATGCACATGATCTACGTCGGCATTTAGGATATTTTTTATTTTTATTTTTTGGCAGGCTTCCACCACATTACATACCTGATTCTGAAGTGTGTATCCAATATATCTGAAGATATCTGAAATCAGCAGATTCTGAAGTATGTATCCAATATATCTGAAGCTGTCCTCCATCTTTATCGCTCGCTGTCCCCGCTGTCCCCGCTGCCAAAAGCTCTCCATCTTCATCGCTCTAATCATCTTGACCCTTGGTCGCGGCCTCAAGACCTTTGGGTGCTGGATTTGGCTTCCAGTGTGCATTCAAGGGTAACGGTTAGACATTTAAAGGTGAGTTACGTAACATTGATTAGTTAATTAGTCATTAGTTATAAATAAGATACTGGTTGGTTTGCTATGCTTTCTGTTCATTTTATTGCCCCGAAGCTGTCCAAGCTGTCCAAGCCATCGACAACCTTGCTGAGGCCATTTCTTTTGCCCCTCCATTTGCTGCCTTGCAGTCGAGAAGGCTTGCATGGGCTGGTGGGTGTCTTACCTCGAGCGATTGGTCCCCAGTTCGAAGTTTTAAATGTTGATCATATTGTCGTCGTTGTTGATTTGCTTTGAGTTGCATAGTAATGGATTTTATGAGAAATGTGCTTGCCGAGCTGCAGGTTTTTAAAAGAGTTGGTCATTGTCATGATTGGGGAGCTTCATTCATGTCATGCGGCATTCATCAACATGCAAGGCCGTTCCCGCAGCTGTTCAAGCTGCTCCAGCTGTCCAAGCGCTGTCGCATGGCCAACGTTGCTGCTGCAATTGCTGAGGCAGTGGAAGCGATGGAGGCAGCAGATGCAGCGGTGATTCAAGGCGACGCGCCTTTGATTGAGGATGGCGAGGACGAAGAGCCTGCAGAGCCTGCTCGGGATGACGGAGGTGCTGGAGATGATCAAGCCATTCAAGCTGTCCCAGCCGATCCAGCCGTCCCAGCCGTCCAAGCTCAAGGCGCGCTGGTGCCTGCTGGCGAGAATGTCGTGGCCCGATCTATGCGGCAGGAGATCGCGGAAGGGGTCATGGCTGCAGTGGGCAGTACGCCTTTCCACCTGCGCATGGAAGGTATGTTGCTCGAGCAGAAAGAGGTGCAGCGGCACGCAATTGCGTTGCCGCAGGCCCCGAGCATCTTCCGTGAGAAGTACGATACCCAGAGTGACTTCACCTGGTCTCTCTTCGGCTTCAACACTTTGCTGAACAGCTTCTACGAGAATGGGGTCAAGAACGCTGAGAACATCGAAGCCATTTGCGCAGGTACTGGGGTGTCTAAAAGCATTTTTTTCTTGCCGAAATAAAACTGTTGGACAGGGTGAAGTTTGCAATTTGCGATTTTATTTTCCAAAGCGTTCTACCCGCTTTGCTTCAGGCTTTGCGCTGCCAGCCTCCGAGCGGCACATCGTGGAAACTGCCCGGGATTTGCTCGCACAGATCCCAACCGGGGGAGGCGTCCCCCGAGAGGTTCATGGTCGTGACTTTGATCAACATTCATGCCGAATGGTTTTGATTTTATTGATGATGTGTCATGCTGGCTTTGAGTCATGCCTTATCGTGTTTGGATAGAGCTTAGAGGGCTTAAACGTGAAACTGCCATTGTTTCTTTTCCAAGCTTCCTTTGGCCGAGTTGTCGACCATCGTCCGGGAGCACCTGGAGCAGTTCGCCGAAGTGCAGGAGTATGACGGCGACATTATCTGCAATGTGCTGCTTTTCCCATATGTGATGAATGGGGCAGCCCGAGGCTATAAATTGTCAGTGCCAGCCAAGGACTGGGAGAGTCTAAAGACATGGAAGTGCGAGCTGTCCTATAGCTGTCCTAGCTGTCCTAGCTGTTATGGAAGTTCTTGGTCACGTAACGTAGTCATATGTTTTAACTAAAATATAGTTTGTTCGAACGTTGTCTAGTTTTCCAAATCCTGCAGGACATGTCATGGTCCGGGTGGGCGCTTCCATGGGGCAGTGACGGCTTGCTCATGCCGGTTGGCCTCTACGCCACCGACGTCCTCGAGATGGCGCGCCAATTTGTGGAGTTGGCTGGCTTGGGGCGACGAAGCAATGGTCCCAGAAGCTTGGATGCCTTTCTTTCAGACGAGAACCAGGTGGTCATGGCTGTCGAGGACAGGAACAAGGCTTGCATCCAAGCATCCTTCTTCAGCAATGCGTTCCACGGCAAGCTGGAAGAGCATGCCTCAGCAGGCGTGCGGTATGCCTTGGATCTTGCCAGGTACAAAAACCAGATCCAATACAAGCTGGTGGAGAAGTTGGATGTGGGCTTCGGACAATTTTTTGATTTTGGAGAAGAAGCTGGCTATGGACCCACTTCCTATTTCGTCTCGGCTGAGGGGTTCTTTTACGTCCTCTGCTATCGAGCTGCTGACGTGGCCCAGCGGAAGTTCGAAGGCACCCCGCGATGGATTCTGCAGGCTGGATGAAATTTGAGTTAGCAGTAGCACAAATTTGGTTCACAGAAATTGCACACACATACACACACGTTATACATGATATGTAATATAATGTATGTACAAAACATGTAGGTTTTTTTTTGAAAGTAATTATATATATATATGTTTATTTTTAATTATTATCATTATTATTATTGTTATTACTATTTTTGTTCAAACTTATGCCATGTGTGTGTAACCCCCTAACTTAGTTCTTGGCAATGTGTTTCCGGGTTTCAAACATCGCTACTTGCCTGCAAGGGCGAGTGCTTCAAGGGCGACTTCGACGACGACAAGTGGACCTACCGAGCTGGATCACGAGCAGCCTGCACCATCCAGTGGGTTGGAGAGGGCCCTGATGACTTCAACCTTCTGTGGGATGGCATGCAAGTTGTAGCTTGGTTTTGACTTCAGCAAAACTTTCATATGCCCATGATGTGCGTTTCATGAGCGCATGCTTTCCCTGTGACTTTGAAGGCCCTTGTGTGGCTTTTGGTTTTGACAAAGAACGAAAACTTGTTTCAGGAAAGGGCACTTGTGGCCACAAAGACGACAACGTCCATGGTGCTTGCACTTCGGTTGTCCCGCTGGGAAGATTCAAAAGGACGGCCCTGGAGTGTCACATTGGCCAGATGCTCTTCGGTCCCTGATGGTGTGAAGATGGCGATGGCACAGTCGAACGTCCATGCGGACAAATACTGTCGCCAGACCTACAGGAACACCAATGACATGGAGCTTGCCCAATACGCCCATCGCACACGGCAAGTTTTCACTTCCCGCCCACAGTCGCGCTACGGGCAGGAGTCGCAGCAGGAGCCTCAGCAGCAGCAGCCACCGCCGAGCGCTGCAACATGCTTTCCACCAGGAATGACAACCATGGATGATGGGTGGGGCGGAACCATGTTTGTGCCGACGGCTCCAGTTCGCCCTGCCATGCCTGCTTTTCAGCCGTTCTGGAGTCAGCAGACTTGGCAGCAGCAGCCGTCCCAGCCGTGACAGCCGTCCCAGCCGTCCCAGTCGTCGCAGCAGGGACAGGGCCAGCATGGACAGGGCCGGCGCAACCAGGGGCAGAATCAGGGGCAGAATCAGGGCTGGTGGAACTGAGAAGCGTGTCTGAGAGGGGCCGCGATTTTTTTCAAAGTGCAGTGCGGCAACAGCCGCTTTAATTCATTGGATCAGAGCCGGCACGTCGCTGGTGCTATTGGCCGCAGCTGTCCAGCCTTTAGCCGTCCAAGCTATCTTTGCTTGGCTTCTTCCAACTGAGCATGGTTCAAAGCCTTTCACCGATGTTTAATCCCGACTAATTTAATATGGCAACTAATCTAGTAGCAGTCGAATCACCACAATGTTGGCTAGTAACATCACTAACAGGGGTTTGGAACAATGCTCAACTGTGCACACTAGCACGTCGATGGTGGCATTGCAATGGCAGAAAACTTTTTTTTCAAGCGCGATGATTTTCTTGCTTTGGCTTCAATCTTTTTTTGCAATTTAGTCCGTTCATCCATTTCATCGCATTCAATTGGCCCTTGGCCAGGCCGGGCCCTTGCCTACGTTCTTTTTCTGGAGAAGCAGGTGCCTGGGAAGTTCCTGATGCCAAGTTCACAGACAAACACGTTCAATGAACATTCCCGTCTTTTTCAGGAAAGTTTGATAATGAGATTGAAAATTCAAAACACTGGACTCAATTATTATAAATAAAATTACGACGTTCATAGTGGCCAGCTACCAAGGGTTGACTGATGGCAGGTACTCTGGGCCTACTTTGCTGCTGTTGCTGCCTGTGGGTGGCTTCAAAAACACTCGCCAGGCATGGTTCGAGCCTTGCAGTTTTTGGTTCATGGTTGGTACCCTCATTTGCAAGTTCATGATCAGAGTTCTTTCATTCTTTTACATCCAAAACAATTGATAATGAGATGAATTCTTACTAAGAATAGCTTTCCCCATGCGAATGTTTTTCCTCTTACTTGGGCTCCCAGCTTTTTTCTTCCTGATGATCGGCGCAGGCTGTGGAATCTTGCATCGCCACCAAGGAGAGTGGAGGCCAGACCAGCTTAGCCGAAATTGCTTCTACACGGGCTTTTGCGAAGTCGCTGCTACATCAGGTTTCTATTCCATACGCAGCGCAGCAATCAATCCAGATCAGTTTAGTGGGTTTAGCTTGAACTTAAAAACTTCAAACACATTAGCAGACTTTGCAGGCCTGGGTTGGTGTCCAGTGTGGTTGCACGACCGGACGCTGTTTGCAGAGGTGCCCCTTGCCGCCTTTTGCAAGCACTGTTTTGTTTGATGCTGCTGCAAGAGTTTTTTGACTTGGTTCCTGTCCTGTGCCCACAGGATTCAGCTGTGCCAGCCGTTCCAGCAACCAGCTCTTGGAGAGGCCTGGCCACAAGTAGCATGAAATTACCATTGTGTTTTGACATTGCGATGAGATAAAGTCTTGGCAGGCTTTGGTTTAACGATTTCTTTTGGTTCCAGTTTATTTTAAATTTAACTTTCTGGTTTGATCCAGGTCAAATACTCCTGAATTGGGGCTTCAAAATTTCAAACTTGGCAGCTGAAGCCTTCACAATTTTGTGGTGCTTGCTGTTTGCCTGGAGGTTTCTGCTGCCCAAGCCGTTTCAGCTGTTCCAGCCATTCCAGCAACAAGAGGCATGGACGTCATGACCACAGAGGATGTTTGAGTGATTGATTCTTAATTCGCACGGTATCGAAAATTGAGCAAGCAGTCCATGCATGCGGGCGCATCTTGATGACACCAGTGTTGCACCTTCAACAATAATATTCAGCTGTATCACTGAATCAAAAATTGGCTTCTCAAAAAATCGCACTCTTCTTGTTTAAGCTGGCTACCTGCCCGCCAACAGGCTTCACACCGTTTGACATCTTTGCTCCTTAAGGTGCCTTTTCAGGGGAATTGCTCAGGTTGTGGGCCGTGTGGTGAGGACTGTTTGAAAAAGGTTCAGACATGAATTAGTTAATTATTTATAATCATAACGTTTATTTGTTTCCAAACCATTTTGTCAGTCATTTGTGCAATGCAAGCACTTCTTCCATGATTATTGCAGCTCAAGCAATCCAAGCTGCAGTCTTTGTGGAGGGTGGATCGGGAAATTCAAATGAATCTAGACTCTCAGACATGGCCAAGCACAATTTAAAACATAATTTGTTCTATATACTTAGTATATATATATATAATTATAATTATGATAATAATAATAATACATTAAATGATATATGATAACTAATATGTATATATATATATATAATGCCCCACCGTATTTTTCATGATTACTTGCGCAATTATAATATGTTTGTGCTGTTGCCTTCGCCATGTCTTCTCTGGGTTTGCGATGGGGCCTTGGAAGGAAAGCCCCCAAAGCCAAGCCCAAGAAGGCGCCCAAGACATCTTGTCAGCCTGCGGCGCGTGCGTTGCCGATGAAGGGTTTGGGCAGCCGATGGGGCCTCAAACTTGCAAAGTCCAGCAGAAGTCAGCCGTCTCAGCCGTCCCAGCCATCCCAGTCTGGCAGTTCCAAAAGAGCGCAGGCCGATGATCCCGCGAAGCTTGTTGGCCCTGTGGGTGAGTCAGAAGCTCATCATTGTGCACGACATGTCAAAACTATTGCTGGGAAACGATGTGCGCGCTGCAAGTCTCTAGGCAAAATTTATTAATTCTTTTCCGGAATAGACATTCGTATCAATGCAACAGAGGGATGTTGAAAACAATTGAGCAAGATGCAAATTGTATGCTCGTCACATGGCTGGGCAATTTCAGTTGCAACAGCTGCAGCCATTGCATCATTGTCAACATTGTTTTAGCAATATGGTGTTTTGCGATGTCAAAAGGAAGAGAAATTGAGAGAGAGAGAGAGAGGGAGATGATCTCAGGTGACAGAGATGTGAAGAGATTGTTCTTCAACACACAGGTTGTCTTACTAATTACTAATCCTATAGGCACAGTCCTTTTTTGTTCCTCTTTAATCTGGAATTTTGTACACCCAGATTTGCCCAGATCTTACTTCACCTGTTTGCATTTACATTTTTTCAAGTGGCTCTGCTGACATATTGCTGGAAATTTCGTTTGCGCGAGATCTTTTAATGGATTATCATCGGTTATTGTGTAGATGGATTCGCCTTCCTGCTGGCACAGGTTTGTCCGCTTTAGGGAGAAGTGGCAGAAATTAGGGACCTTGCGTCACAGTTCTTGGGGCAAACCATGTCGTACAGTCTGGCTAGCTGAAAAGCCTGTTCGTCGGGGAGGCGCTTGGGGCATTGGCTGTACCTTTTGTGCTTTTTTGGTAGATGAATTGGCCAAGCATCCTGAGGAGCGGAAGCGCTTGAATCTCGACCTATTTCAGTAACAGGGCACAATTTTCCTATTTGCAAAGCTAGGGCCACAGGAGCACCAGCTGTCCCAGCTGCCCCAGCTCAGTAGGAAAAGACCTTGAGGATACATTTGGTTGGCAGTGTTGCCAGGTTACTTGTCCATCCCCATCAGTTTTTTTTTTGATGGTGGGGCGGCTTAATCTCGCAAGATGTTTCCCGAATGCAGCCTGAAGATACGCAGGTCTCTTCTGCTGACCTCAGCATCCAAGTCTTGTGCTGCCAGTAGTGGGAAGCATTGGACGTTGCTGATTGGTGAGGACAAAACAGATTCATCTTCCAAGAAGTTGAAGAGAGGAGTTACAAAGCGGATAGGTTCGATGGGAGACATGCGTGGTTTTTTGAAATTCATTAGGTTGTTCCGTCAGTCTCGGGGAGTGTTTGGTCAATTTGCCAAACCGAAAAGATAGCTGGCTCTACCCAGGAGCACAAGCAGAGCAGAAAAAGCGCGGGATAGCCTTTCGATGCCCCTTAGCAATACGCTCCAGAATATCAAAAACTGCTAGCGTAGTAGCAAGTGCTTTGTCCATTGATTTGTACTTTTACTGAGAGTGTGTAATTGTTGATGGATTGCTATACTTTGTTATGCCCCCAGGCTCGCAAGATCGAAGGGCGTAATGGCATGTGCCAAGCCTGCTTCATTACACTATGTAGCTCATATCCGTGGCTCGCAAGAGCTGACTTGGGAGAAGGTTTAGATGTGCATTCAAGGGTTGTTTTCAAACATTCAAAGGTCAATGTTGCATGAGTATGCATTCAAAGGTGTTCAAGTGCATTCAAGGGTCTACCAATGCATCCAAGGGTCATCTTTGTGCATCCAAAGGTAAACTCACCCTGATTCACGTTGGCTCCCTTGCCAGGTGCTTCTCCATGGCTCCTGTGCCAGAGTCTGCAAGCAAGGCAGTGAAGCTTTGGATGCAGAGTCTGGAAGCTGGCTATGAAACACAGCAGATGAACAGAGTGGATAGGATAGCACACAAAGCCACTGGACAGAACCACGTGCAGTTACTTCAACCAACATGGGCAAAGAAGTTTTTAGACACACGGGTCAGTGATGATAAGCGCGTTCATAGACTTGCATCATGTTGCTTTTCTATCAAGTAGATGTGTGGAAGTGACACTTTGGATGTCATAATGAGGCTGCAAAGCTTTTCTGGAACGAGCAAGAGAAGGATTTGATTCCCATGGTCCAGTTCCTCCTGCGAGATTTGCCTCAGCAGCGTTTGCCTAGCGCGGCTATGAGCAAAATTGGAAGCAGTCATGCGGGAAGATTCCATGCAATATTATCTTTCTGCATTACAGTTCTTTTTCCTAAGGCAGGTTGCGAGAGAATACAAAGTGAATAGATGGAGAGAGACAGAGAGATGGACAGACATATCAACAAATACAAAGGGGAATAGCAGACGGATAAACAATTCCAATATGTTTATCCCATAATATCCCACAATTGCCTAGATTATGATACAATACAAGAATAGTTCAATGATCCGCCTAGGCTCTGGTGACGGCATACTTGCTGTATCGGGCCAAGTGTGTGGTTCCATCCTTGGCATCAGAGCCTTTGCATGTGACAAGTTGGGGTGATGGAAAGGTTTTTCCTTTGAAGCACATTCAATGTGACGTCAGCAAGATATAGCTGCCTGCAACAGCTGTCCCTGCTGTCCCAGCACTGCCAAACTGACAGGATCCTGGAAACATTGTGCTTCGTATCCTGAATGCTCCAAACCCATTCTTGACAATGAATGGCGCGGCGCTCACTTTCAAGCAGACGTGTCAAGGATGTTTTTTGCGTCCGGTGTCAAAGGCAGTGGGATTCTTGTCAGGTTTAGACTTTAGGGGGCCGGCAGAAGCGCTCACAATAGAAGATGGTATGAGCGCATCAGATTGCATTTTATTCGACTTTCCTCTGTTGATTCCATTTCCAACCTGGGCGAAAATTTAGCCAGCACGGTGAATAACAAAAAATAGTTGGCTCAAGACTTGACAGCGCTGCTGGACCTTATGATCCAGAACGTCTTCTTCATGCTTGGCCAAGCAAATTCTTCCATGTTCCCTTCCTGTAAAGAAAAATCAATCTCTTCAACTTCAGGGCCATTGTTTTTATTTCTATCTTTCTTTCTTTCGTTCTTTATTTCTTTCGTTCTTTCTTTCTTTCTTTTTTTGGTTCTTTCTTTCTTTCTTTCGTTCTTTCTTTCTGTCTTTCTTTCTTTCTTCACACACACTCTCTCTCTCTCTCTGTATCTTGCGCTTTCTTTGCGTCTCTCTCTCTCTATCTATCAGTTCTTCTTCCTTCATGTTTTTCATGTCTTCCTTTTTTTGACTACATCCTTTTTTGGGGGATCTCTCATCTCTGCCCCTCTCTCTCTCTCTCTCTCTCTCTCCCTATCTCCGCGTTCTCCGTGCCCCTTCCTCCTGTCAACCCATCCATCACTGCAGCAGTGCCCCTTTATACTTGGGTCTGCTTGTGTCTCCGTTTTTTTTTCTCTATCCGTTTCATCACCCTTGAATGCGCGCATTCAACCCTTAAGCGCAGAAGATCCATGAAGCTGCGCATCCAAAGGTCTTGAGGCTGCGCTGAAGGCTGTGCCAGCTAAGACCATGCCGGGAATTCCTCCATGGACAGCGTTGCTAAGAAAACGAAAGAATCATTCGTAAAGTGTTGCTATGGGTGCCCTTGATTGCACTTGCAGGCACCTTGGACTGCTGAAGCATGTTTGGCCGCCATGAAGTCAAGCGGAATGTACGAAGCTGCTGGATTAGCCTTGTGGTTGCGAACAGGCGTTTGGTCTTTGGCAAAGGGTCGCGATGTGGATCCTGGCGATGTCAGTTATGCCGCCTTGACCCGGTTTGCAGACATGTATTTTTCCAAAGCTGTCAGCTTGAAGACGTATGTGACACGTGAGGGCAAGAGACAGAAGCCACATGACAGACTGGTGTGGCCCGTGCCCATGGTGTGCACTTGTGAGAACATGCCTGAGCTGGACAAGAAGTTCTTTGAGGGCAACCTCAACCTTGTTGGCTGCCACTTTGTCCTCTGGAGTTGGTACGTTGCTTTGGCAGCTGCTCTGCGCAACAATGTTGCTTGGATGAGCTTTCAATACGCAGCAAACTTTCTGTTTTTTTCCCAGCTGCCTTTGCTGTACCAGCTGTTCCTGCTATCCCCCCATCCAGAAACTAATTTAACAGCTGCAACTCAGGACAAGGACTGGCTTGCATTGCTTTGGGAAGCAGGCCTCAGTGTAACGATTCAGGTGCGATACTGCCCTGATATGATTGACTTTGTCAAGGCTCGCAATCAAGCCTCTGAAGGCCTCAAGGCAATCAACGATGTGAACCCCTCAGAAACATTTGTGCAATTTGCCCTCTTAGCGAAGCAGCTCAACGTGGAGAAAGAGGCAGATGGATCTGCACACGGGTTGAGATTCAACAACTCACCCTACAACGCGAGCATGCACAAAGCAGCCATGGGAATTATTTTCTTGCTAGAGGGTGATGGAGGTTTGTTTCAGAAGGCTATGTCCAAGCTCGAGCTGGCCTATGGTCGTGAGTTCTTGTCGAACGCATACTCAAAGCTCAGCCGCTTGGTGTCGCTTTGCAAGCAAGCTGCAGCAAATGAGAACCCCACTCACATTGTGGCTGCCTGGCTGGTGGAGATGCTGCACTTAGCTCTGAGACTGAAGTTGATTTCAGCGAAGCAGGCCACGGAAGTGTGGCTTTTTGGTGACCGCAAGCATGGCACCACTGGTTTCTGTCAAGCGTGTCTGGTCGTCAAGGAGGCATGGCAGCTGAAATGTTCCAGTCATTGATTTAATTAACATTAAAAAGGATTGCAGCAGGCAAGCGAAACTGCTCCCTTGTGACTAGCTATATGCTTTTGCCTATCACCTTGCCTGCTGTAAAGATTTGTGCCTACTTTTAATGCCTATTAATAATCTATATATTGCCTGGTGTGCCAACATGGCCACATGCAGGCCTTTGACTTTGTAGCGCCATTGCTACAGAAGCTGCCTGAGCAAGAAGCCCAGAAGTGTACCACAGTCGTTGCCAACATCTGCAAGCCAGAGCAGTGCTGGTTGGATTTCTTCGTTCCAGAAGCTTCTGAAGCCGGGATTCTCCAGGAGGAAGGCGAAGAGCAGGAAGAAGCACCAGCTGCCATACTTGGGGCCAACAAGTTGAACTCGTTGAAGGCTGAGTTTAACAAGGCAACTGGCGCATTGCTTGAGCTGTTGATTGACTTGATGCGAGGTGAATATCTGGCAGACTGCCGCACGCTAGCCAAAGAAAATGTGAAACTGGCACAGGCAGTATCTGAAGTAGCCGTCCAAGCTGTTCCAGCCGACGACCAGCAAGATTCATCAAGTTGTTCCTCCTTAGGCTTTGTGAAGAACCTTTATTTGGTGGTCCAAGCTTACGACACCAACACAAAGAGTGTCTCACTGGCAGCGCCATTGCCAACGCCTAGCTTGATTCAGAGTCTCAACCCCAGCATTTCTTCAGAACAAGATGCTGCAGGCAGAGCGCGGGCTTGGAAGCAAGTCCAATCAGAGTGCCGCAAGTTTGTCACTTTCTCTGTGGTTCCAAAGTATACGAAAGAAGCGCTCAACAGTGCTTTCCGGAACAGTGGAAAGGTTTGGGCACACAAGGGCGATCTCAACACTTCCCATCGCCTTATAGTTGGCTCAGCAGATTTGGTCACAGAAACATCTCAGGAGCCTTGGCTCACCCCATCAGCTCCAGCGGCAGATGCTTGGAAGGCATTGGCCGGGTTTTGCATGGGCCTCGCTGGCAATACAGATTTCATCTTCCTTTTCGACGGGCGCATGAGAGAGATTCGGCGGATCCATGCTCCTTGTCTGGATGAAAAGAAGCTTCCGCTGTTTGAACCTGCCTATTGATTTATCAACTAACTTGGAGCGTCTAGTTCACTGTCAATAATAATATCCTTGTCTCACGTTTGGCACTGAGGAAGATGTGGTGCTGACGCAGACCCAGACAGAAGAGCTGTTCGTCATCTACAGTGGCGGGTGTTTGCCGCGTGCGGGGCGTGTGAGACGAGTGCCCTTGGCAGCCCGAAAGCTGGAAACGTGTGCCTTGCGGTTTCCCGCTCAACGCACAAAGATCCGAACAACGAAGATCACCAAAATAAATAAGTACCCTAGATCAGCTGGGTTTAGATCAGAAGACTTTGTGAACCCCCATGCGCATAAATAAACTCAAAATAACTTAAAAACGCATTAAAAAGCACTTTTTCACATATTTAAGTATGTTATCCCATTAAAACGCATGTTTTTATCATTTTATTTATTTTTATTTCATTTTATATCATTTTTTATTTGGTTGGGATACAGGTAAATTGGTGGATTATATATTATCTGAGGGACATGTGATACCAAGCGTGTTATTTCTGGTGATTTTTTTGAGTTCATTAATCACATCTTTATATTTTCGGTGTTGTGTGCATTGCTGGTAGGTAACCTTAATAAATAATCTAAAATGTCTCTGTTTATACTTCCATCTTTTCCACCCGTTCCTGATATATAAATAAAGCGTCTTGCCTGTCTTATATAATCCCGATGGGCTTCTGTATGCATTTGTCAATCCGTGTCTGTCTTCTGTTGCTTTTGTGTTGGCTATGTTCCTTTCTTCTTTATACAGTGTTGTATTTTGCCTGAATTGCTCATTAAGATTTCTTGCAAAGTTGTTCATCTTCTCATCTAAGTCTCTTTGTTTCTTGTCCGTGTCGTTCATTAACTCTTCTTTTCCTTGACGCATTAATTCTTCAAATGCTACTCTACCTATTCTTTTTGCGAATATATAATCTCATCTCTTCTCTTGTTAATACATGTTCTATTGCTTCACCTCCCATAATTCTCTGAACAACCTCTCTCCCAAACTGCCTTCCCACCTGTCTCAATGCATTAGTCATTGCTATTCTTCCAACTCCTGCTACAACTCCAATCATTTATTTTTATATTAATGTTTGATAAAAATCATTTCTAATAATAGATCTAATCATGAGTCATGAGTAATAGATAAACATATAAAACTATTTTTGTAGATAGTAAGTATCGCAATGCTCAATCAAAATCTTCGCCTGACTTTTCAGTGGAGTTAAACGAAAACTCAGAAACACCAGAGGAAACAAAACTCTATGTAACTGATATTTCTATTCCAGCGGTGTGGAAATCTACAGAGGTGGGTTTCTATGAATATATTAATATATTTATGTTGTGGTCTTCAATGGCGATACATTAGTCAAAATATTAGGGTATATTTAGGTAATATTATGGTAAACTGTGATTAAAACATGAAACAATCACAAGAAAGAAATCAACATGAAAATAAAAAATCTCAAAAAGTCTCAAAAAATCAAATGATGCCAAAGGCGATTACCGGGGGAAATGAGACCGAAACCCTGAAAGACAAATGACTGCGGCAATGACTTCAACAAACATATGCAATCTATAAGCAAAAAAACATTAAAAAAACACCAAAAAAAAACATTTTTTTTGTTTTTTTAAGCTTTATTTTTTCATGCTATCATCAAGTTTGAGATTTTTTGAGATTTTTTGAGATTTTTTGAGCTTATTTGAGCTTTTTTGAGCTTTTTTGAGATTTTTTGAGATTTTTTGAGATTTTTACCCTTTTTGCTATTTTTAAAGTATTGCTTTGAGATTTTTTGAGATTTTTTGAGATTTGTTATTTTCATTTTGATTTCTTTCTTGTGATTGTTTCATGTTTTAATCACAGTTTACCATAATATTACCTAAATATACCCTAATATTTTGACTAATGTATCGCCATTGAAGACCACAACATAAATATATTCATAGAAACCCACCTCTGTAGATTTCCACACCGCTGGAATAGAAATATCAGTTACATAGAGTTTTGTTTCCTCTGGTGTTTCTGAGTTTTCGTTTAACTCCACTGAAAAGTCAGGCGAAGATTTTGATTGAGCATTGCGATACTTACTATCTACAAACATAGTTTTATATGTTTATCTATTACTCATGACTCATGATTAGATCTATTATTAGAAATGATTTTTTATCAAACATTAATATAAAAATAAATGATTGGAGTTGTAGCAGGAGTTGGAAGAATAGCAATGACTAATGCATTGAGACAGGTGGGAAGGCAGTTTGGGAGAGAGGTTGTTCAGAGAATTATGGGAGGTGAAGCAATAGAACATGTATTAACAAGAGAAGAGATGAGATTATATATTCGCAAAAAGAATAGGTAGAGTAGCATTTGAAGAATTAATGCGTCAAGGAAAAGAAGAGTTGATGAACGACACGGACAAGAAACAAAGAGACTTAGATGAGAAGATGAACAACTTTGCAAGAAATCTTAATGAGCAATTCAGACAAAATACAACACTGTATAAAGAAGAAAGGAACATAGCCAACACAAAAGCAACAGAAGACAGACACGGATTGACAAATGCATACAGAAACCCATCGGGATTATATAAGACAGGCAAGACACTTTATTTATATATTAACTCCACGGGTGGAAAAGATGGAATATAAACAGAGACATTTTAGATTATTTATTAAGGTTACGTACCTACCAGAAATGCACACAACACCGAAAAGTATAAAGATGTGATTAATGAACTCAAAAATCACCAGAAATAACACGTTTGGTGGATTATGACGATGGCCATGTGCATATGGTTTCAGACGATAAAAAACAATTTTCTTCGCTTTTTCCATGTTTTCCATGTTTTTTTCATATTATATCATTTTTCTTCGGTTTTGTTCGTGTTTATCATCTTACTGATGGTTAGAGATTTGTTTCCGATCTAAACCCCTCCGATCCAGGGTACTTATTTAGTTTAGTGAGAAGAAAGAGAACTTTACCTCATGTGGAGAAGCCACCACCTATCAAGGGACCTTTTCTGGCGTGACCTTCCGCCCTGTGAGTGAGCCGCCACTCATCAATGCGGATGACAAAAAGAAGATCTTACCAGCCAACCAAGCTGTCCAAGTGCCAGAGACATGGAAGGAATCACATGCTGAAGACGGGCCATTGTTTTGGCAAGAGTGTAAGCCGATTGAATTATATCTGGCGTTGCTGGATGAATTCAAGGGTCAGGCAGTCTTGGACCTCACAGCAGGCTCAGGGGCCCTCATGGAAGCTTGCCTGACCCGCGGAGTGCAATATCACGGGATTTGCCTCAATCGCGACCACATGACTTGGCTCCAAGCAGTGGCGGACCGCGCTGCATGCGGCCTGATCTCCATTGAGGGCTCCACTTTGTTCGGTGAAGAGCTGGCCAAGCTGGTGAAGCATCATTTTGCTGACCTACTTCAGCGTCTGGTCCCAACAGATGACGGTGCAGAAGAGTTGCTCGAGCCTGCCAGTGATGACGACGCAGCTTGAAGACCAGCCGTCCTAGCTGTCTTAGCCGTCACAGTTTTGTTACAATAAGATAGATAAGAAGCAAAGACTTTGTGGTGCCGGGCAAAACACTGCATGCTTGGATATTGCTGGGGGGTTCATGCTTGGATGATTCAATTTTACCTTTGAATGCAGATTCTTGCCATTTCCTTGTGTTGAAGGGTGAAAAGTGAGCATCCAAGGGTCTAATGCAATATCTCCATTCCCTACACTGTCACTACAATTTTTGATTGTGCTGAAAATTAAAGGCCCAAGACCTAGCCCAACTCACTCTTCCCAGCTGTCCTAGCCGTTCTAAGCAAAGACTCGCAGAGCCCAATGGCTGCGGCTGCAGTGGTGCCACGCTTCCGGCTGACCTTCAAACAGCCTCTTCAAAGCGGGAAGTTGGCCAAATCAAAAGAAGCAAAGCGTTCCAGACCGTGCTGCAAAAGGAAGGCAACGTCGCGAAGAGTTGCTGTTTCTGAGGGGACAGTGCCCAAAGCTCGCAATGCTTTTGCACTTTTTATGAAACAGCACAACACGGCGAAGAAAGGCGCCAGCAAACAAGAATTCCAACATGAAATGCAACGCATTGCCAAAGCTTGGGCACAATTGACACAGTCTGAGAAGAACATCTACAAGGAAAAAAGAAGATCGGAGTTCACTGCACAAAGAGACGCCATGAAAAGGCATGGCTTGCCCACGCGCCGCATGCAGAATGAAACCGTGCCAAAGCAGCAGTCACAGCTGTCTCAGCTGTCTCAGCTATCCACACAACCTGTGGAAGACCAGGACCAGGCGCTCCTCAGATTTGGGAAGATCACGGTGATGCAAGGTGAGCTTCCTGTTGGTGAAGGCTCTTACGGGACTGTGCTGAAAGGCCTCATGCCCTATGGCCGCTTCTGCGCTCTGAAGATCTTCAAGGGCAGCAAATCTATGATCTCCTTGAAGCAGGAGGTTCTGATTTTCAATCAAATCAAAGACAAGCTTCAAGAAGGAATGCGGCAACTCTTTCCTTCCTTGTTGGAAGTCGAATGCAAACCGCAGCCGTTCCCCTACTTGGCTTTGGAGTTTGCTGGGTCAAGCGTGTCCCAAGTGCTCATCCAAAACGGTGCTTTCACTGGAAGTGCAATGCAGCGCCTAGCCACGCAGCTTAGATCTGCCCTGCAAGCTTTGCACAGCATCCGCATACTTCATTTGGATCTCAAACCGGCCAACATTCTGTGGGTCCAGGAGACTTCATGCATGAAACTAGCGGATTTTGGAATGTCTGAGATGATGGGGATTGAAGCTGCCTCGATAAGGTTCGATGGATATGTTAGTGCTCCCTATAGACCACCTGAGCTGTGGAACACATCTTCCGGAGACATTTGCAAGCATCTGCGTCCATGTGTCGACATTTGGTCATTTGGCTGCGTGCTTTTTGGGTGTGCTACAGCATCCCCTCTTATGGCACCTCTTCCTCCAACTCGCAGCTGCAATCATACTGTGAATGCATGGTGCCGCTCATGGGACAGCTTGCGCCAAGCACGGATGATGACAGAGCCAGCTGCTCGAAGATTGCAGGCTCGTATGTTGAGGTCTGGACCATGGAGAGAACATATTTTAGAATGTTTAAATCCTGACCCTGCTTCTCGAAGATGGAGCGGGCCAACACATTGAATGGAGCCAGCCGCTGCTATGCCTAGTGTAGTGTTCATGAGCAGGGTTGCTTCCCAACTTGTTTCGAAGCGGGGTGTTCGGATTGAGAAGCCCGGGGTTTACTCATGATGGTTGAACTAGCTTAGCCGTACCAGCCGTGCCAGCTGTGCTAGCGACAGTGCCCGGACAACTTAACGTTCAAAAATACGCAGCTGCTGCAATGCTCATTCATTATCGAAGTCACGCATTGTGATTAATCCGCCCATGTTTGATTTTCATATGAGCGCATCAGCCTTCTGCTTGCCAAGGTGGGTCTTCAAAGGTAGCAGCTGCAGCGGCGGCGACAAACTCATGCGTGGAAGGGCAAGAACCGAAAAGAGCGTCTTCCACACGTTGCTGTGGACGACGGTGGCTAAAAGGTTAAATATTGGTAAATTTACTCAATTCCCTTAATATTTTTCGGGACCGTTGAATTGCCAACCTAGTGATGTTTACCTGGATTTGTTAAAAATCAATAGATTTTGCACCCACTTTTTTTAACCCAAATTCAGTTATCCAAACTGATCGGAAGAGCATTTTATATTGTAAATTACAGGTGATTGTGACTCTCCTGGAAGCAACCAATCAAAACGCTCGCGCGGTTTCCCTTCCGCCGGGATGTTTGTGAAACCTAAAGATGGCAACCTGCACAGGCCTCCAAAACGATAGCTAAACGATACTGTAACAAAACCGATAACGACATATGAAAAAAATGAAAAAACGCGAGCCTTTGGGTAGATACCCAACTGACCGGTTTGAGCATATCAGCTTTCGAAGACCTGTATCTTTGATACATAGCGACGGAACATGAAAGGACATGAAAGCAAAATGAACGGAAATGAAAGCGAAATAAAAGGAAGATGAGAGGACATGAATGCAAAACAAAAGGCGATGAAAGGACATGAAAACAAAAGATAACATCTGCTGACTCTAAGGATGCTTTCACACCCACAGAAAGGTGGACAATTCACACTTCTTGTCTACAGGGAGCTCACCACGCGAGAGAACACGATAAGAGTAAAAACAATCAATAATGTGATTTTGGGTTGTTCAGAAAAATACGTGTCTTTGATTTTTTAAATACAACCCCATCATTATCATTATGTTTTTTACTATTATTATCTGATTGGTGGTTTGGAACATTTTTTCCATAATATATGGGATAACCCTTCCCAACTGCCTTTCATATTTTTCGAGATGGTTAAAACCACCAACCAGCTATGATTGTTACTATTATTAACAATGATAGTTATTCACCATTGATAATATTGATCATTCTAATACATAGTACCATTACAATTGTTATTTAATGATTATGGTGATGTTGCTGGTAATTATACATATAACATTACCATTATAACATTACCATTACATTGTTATAATATTACCATTATTAGGATGATGGTGGTGATGATGCTGCTGTTGCTGTTGCTGTTTCTGGTGACGATCATCATTCCTATCATCTCGCCAGGCTTGGCAGATTGCCATCAAGCCGAAACCACCGGCGAGCAAGTGGTGCTCTCCTGGATGCACCGGTGGACCACGGGCTTCCCCAATGGCTACGGTGAAAACATGTGAAAACCCATTGGATTATGGGGGTAACCACCATGTAAATGGGAGAAATGATAGGTAAACCATTGGATTATGGGGGTTCCAATTTTAAACGACAAACCCCATATCATTTGGATTTCAGGTGATGACTGCCCTGGTGATCATCTTTCACCGTCGTGGCTGAGGTGCAAAGTGCAGAGTTCTTGAGCTATGATCGATTTTGCCTCTACACCTGCAAGTCCCTTGGATGCAAAGTGAAGGATGGGGAGAGGCCCAATGACTTGTTTTTTTTCCAGCATGGGGGTTCCCATTCTGCACCTATTCGCAACACCAAGGCCCTTGTTGCGTGACGAGATCAAATCGAAGGTGGACTGTGCACATTTGAACCACCAGGAAATCACGTGTCTGGGCAGAACAAATTTGAGCCATGAGGTGCTCAAGAAAGGAATCGAATCAATTGCTGGCTACGCGGTACGCGACGATTTAACATTACCCCCAAAAAAACTTGGTCTGGAGGATGATTCATGATGATCTACCCATTGAATATGACCACAACTATACGTATAGGTTAGTCGGGCCAACAGCCTGAGACTATGGAAAACACTTTCATAAATTTGTTATCAAAAACTGTTATTTTGCCTCAAGTTTGCCCCTGAAACTGTCATGTTCATTCATTTTTCCTCAATTTTTCCCATGTTTTCCCAGGCCCATTGGCTTTTGTAAGCCCCGAGGCACGACGCGCAGAGCCCTTCCTCCAACGGCAAGGAAATCATCTACGAGGAACGGATATTTTTGTTTGGAAGAGAATCATCTGGGGTTGTCTGAAGATTTACGGGAAAACCATGGAACTCCCCAAGTCCAGAGGATTATTGATGATTATTGTCATTAACTTTGTCATTTAGAAGGTGTTTTTCCCAATTTTCGATCCCATCTGGGATGATCTTTGTTTTGGTTCAGAATCAAGTCGGATTTAGAGAATCAAGGCAGACTGGTCGGAGAATCATAATGATAACAGATGAATGGCCAAGATAGATGATAACAAGAATTCGAGGTAGAAGAATTCGCCCAGATTGAGGTAGAAACTTATTTCCAGAAGTGAATAGTGGCAGTAGTGGTTTATCCCATTATTTACTGGGTTTCAACCATCCAAGGTGGTGCAGGATTTCTTCCACCCACTGCTGAGTTGATGGCAGGCACATCCACTGACCAAAGTGGGGCCCATCTCGAAGCTGGTTGCCCTGCCGGAGGCTGGGAATTTATGGTGTAGCTAGAAGTGAATGGGCGAATCTGAAGGATATCACTTTATATCCCTTATATTCACTTCAGATGAGTTCTGGGTAAATTATAACGACCTCACTGCGACCTCACTGGAATCATGGTTAATCAGGGAAATCATCCCCAAACGGCCTTAATTCAGGTTAGTGAAATATAATAATTTACCCAGATGAGTTGTATGATGTTGTATGTCATGGTTTCTTCCAGATAGCATCTCTTTTTTTCTTTGTTCTATGCGCGCCAATCCGCGGTTTCTTCAAAGGTTGCGGTGAAACCCACAGCATTGGTTCCCACCGAGGCGGTCGCAACAAATAGTGATGAACTACCACAATTACCCAATGTGGTAATTTAACATAACTATGGAAAATCCATCATTTATATAACAATATTATATAGATTTCCCATGAAGAATGGTGATTTTCCATAGTTGTGTTAGTTTACCAGAGGGTATAGATGACCATACCAACTGCTACCATTTATGCCTCCGGGATTGACCTAGAAACGCATGGCTTGGCCAAGGGTGGCCATTCGCCATCGCTTGAAGTCTGCCCATTTTGCTAAGAATAACCACTAATAAACATATACATCGCATTATTGTTGCTTACATCCCCACGTACGTATATCTACATATCTTACACATATGACATGTATATATATATTATAATATACAGTAATATATAACGTGTGTATCTGTATATGTATATAATATATACTGTATCTGTGTATGTATTCCCATAAATTGGTTGACTAGAAGAGCAATTCCCACGAGATTTCCCCTCTTCCAGGCCTCGATGTTGGGTGTGAACGCAGCTGTGACGTTGGGCCCCAAAAAATGGCAGCGGTTGGTCATTTCACAACTTTTTTTTGGGAGATATTCTTAAGCAACAGCAAACATCCAACCCATATATTTTTCAAAAATCACATTCATGGGATGAACTGACCATTTTCTTGCGATTTTTGCGGGTTCCAAAATTTTGACCGATAGGAGTGGAATGCATCGTGGAGGCCGGTGCTCTAAGTTCCATTATGTGGGCAGAACACCAAACAACAATTGACGCTATGCACTTTCGAGTGAAATTCCCAGGGCTTGGTTTTGAGGATGGTAACGACGTAACGGCCCAAAAAGCGATGGATAAAAATGGGTTGATTCACCCACATGCAGTTGATGACGCCATTTTGCAGGTCATATCATGTAATATCCTTGGTCCATTTGACCAATGGTTTTCCCAGAGGGTATCGCATATGTATATTCGCCATCACCCATTTTTTGACAAACCATGACAACCCCCCCAATTTTTGTGACATTAATTAGCCCTCCAAAATTGTGGGAAATACATGAAATACATCCATTTGTTCACCATTTCTATCCATGTGACAGGTATAATTTGCTACTAGTTCTTTCCATATTTCCTTCACCAGATTTTCTTCAGTCTGACTATGTTTGACTAATGATTTCATGTTATTGTATCCAAGAAATTGTCGAAGGGAAAAAATGACGGGAGACCCCTCTACTTGGCTCTACTTGGGGGTAAAAAAGCATGGCTTCATATGGTTTCCCTACATTTTCCTGAAATCACACATCACCTGGTTGGTGGTTTCAAACATGGCTTTTATTTTCCATAAATTTCCATAATATATGAGATATATGAGATATATAATCATCCCAACTGACGAACTCCATCATTTTTCAGAGGGGTAGGTATACCATCAACCAGTTATGATTGTTACTGTTGTTAACAATGATAGTTATTTACCATTGATAGTTGTTTTATTCCTGAAATCACACGTATCATTCCTGGCATATTTCCACCATTGGCCAGTGGAATTTCCAGGTCGGATCCGGTGATGTCCATCCGTGGAGCCTTCGCCAAGCTGAGGCGAGTTTCATAGCCATCGCCATGATTGGTGGGTCCTAATTTGGTGGTAAATCGATGGCTAATTTGGTGGTAAAATGTAGGTAAATGTAGGTAAATCGATGTTTACATATTTTAGATCATCTGTTTTTTTTGGAGACTAGCAATGACTTTTTTGGCATTTCCGGAGGGCGGCTTCCAATTGGGACATGCCACAGATGCCCCAATTCCAGGAATCTGGAACGTCAGAATGGAGGACTCGCGGGTGCAGGGTCGGCAGGGTATCCAGAACTGTTTCATGATCGTGAAATATCTTCAGATCAAGATATCATAAGATATCATAAAATATAAGATATCACAAGATATCATAAGATATCATAAGATATCCCAGTTCTTCGGATTTTGTGTTTCTGGAATGGATGTTTCGCATCCCAGGGCTCAGTGCCTATGGCCTTCCAGATGCCGCCAAGGTGGGGTCCGGGAAAAGATCCTGCAGTTGGTAGATGGTTGCCATTCGAATCCCATTTTTTCTCAGTGTTTTAATCATAATGGGATAAAATTTAGTAACTATTTTAATAGGCTTTTAACATCTTTTAACTATTGCTACTGCAGGTGTTTTAGAGTTACCAATAGTTACCAACTGGTGCAGGATTTCGCAACCATCCGTATGGTGAAAGATGGTATTTCCTGGGAAGATTTCACCATACACCATCATCAGGGACCCCCTGATCTCAGGCGCCCAGTTTGTGCGTCTGCCACTGCGGTTCCAAAGTGGATCGTTGGGGAATCTCAGCTCCGTTGTTTGAACATGGGCCATTCTGGGGGGAAAAGAAGGATTTAGCGTGAAATATCATGTTATAACATGTTCGCCCCAACCCGGGTCCACGTTGCTCCACACTTACAATCGTCATGATCATGATGATGATGATGATGATCATGATGATCATCATGATCATCATCAGAACCATCATCAGAACCATCATCTTTATCTTCATGAGGGGTCAAAATTCGCCACCCCCTCTGAACAATATGTTGATTGGGGTAATAACACCATCTATATATATATATATATCTCCACGAGGGATCAAAATTTGCCACCCCTATGAGCAATACGTTGATTGGGGTAATAGCATCAACTATATCTCCATGAGGGATCAACATTTGCCACCTCCTATGGTCAATATGTTGGTTGGGGTAATAACATCAACTTTATCTTCATGAGGGATCAACATTCGCCACCCCCTATGAACAATATGTTGGCTGGCGTAATAACATCAACTTTATCTTCAAGAGGGATCAACATTTGCCACTGGCGTAATAACATCAACTTTATCTTCAAGAGGGATCAACATTTGCCACCCCCTATGAACAATATGTTGGCTGGCGTAATAACATCAACTTTATCTTCATGAGGGATCAAAATTCGCCAGCCCCTATGGACAATATGTTGACTGGGGTAAGAACATCAACTTTATCTTCATAAGGGATCAAAATTCGCACCCCCCTACGAGCAATATGTTGATTGGGGTAATAACATCATTTTTATTTTCATAAGGGATCAAGATTCGCCACCCCTTATGAACAATATGTTGATTGGGTACTGTAAGAAATTCAACTTTATCTTCATAGCCACCTGAAGTCAGACGCGGAGCAACGTCAGGGTTGCAGTGAACATGTTATAACATCTTTTCCCAAAAAAATGATATACTGATATTATCTATATATATATAATATATATATATATAATCACATGGATGATTTTGGGGCCGATTTTCCAACTCCCATATTTCCAGCCCTCGCCCCCAGGCTTCCGCCAAACGGAAAGCGACGGGGTCATTTACCCCAAGCCTCGCAAGGCGGATGCACTGAAAGCATAGACGAAACATTCAGATTTTTTGCTTTTAAATAACTTTTGATGCACATAATCACTAAGACCAGCAAGAATCAATTTAGTTCTGTTTTGGGAGGTGACTTTGCATTTCTATGAAGCTCAATTCTTGCGGAGAATATGTCTTGAATTGGAAAGGATGTTTTCCCATGTTTTCCCCATATAATACCCTCTGGTTATTTAACATAGCCATGGAAAATGGCCCATTTATAGATGATTTTCCCATTAATAGCTCCATTTATAAAGGGTTTTCCATGGCTATGTTAAACAACCAGATGGTATATCTTATTTTCATTGATTTTCCAGGTGTTCAACGTTTTTCGTTCTCAAAAAATCTCCCGAAGCCACGGCATTTCGCACTGCAGATGCCAATGTCCGTGACGTCGCCCCGCAGCGTCATGGTGGAGCCTCCACAGCCGCCCATGCCACCGTGGCGGTTCTCAGCGAAACATCTACGGGAACGCACCATAACAGGCAAAACCACAACAAACAACCTTAGAAGTTTGGATAGTTTGGAACATGGCTTGGCTTATTTTTCCATATTTTTCCATTAATATATTGGGAATGTCATCATCCCAACTGACGAACTCACTCCATCATTTTTCAGAGGGGTTGGCTCAACCACCCACCAGAAATTCCGGTGAACATTGGGGAGCCGCCGACTTGCCGGCACCATCCACTGTGGATTACAAAGAGCTGTGACTATCGCGTACGACTTGAATACATACATATACATATATATATATATATATACATACATATAAACATAAATACGAATATCAATATACATATTCAGGACATAACATGCACACATATGCCTCATCTTGGTTGTTTGATCTGTATGATGACCATTCATCGATGGCTTCCGCAGCTTCTTTTGAAGAAAGCACTGCAGCTGCCTCGAGCGAAGAACGGGACCCCATGGCGTTGCCCAAGACTCGGGGGGTGGAGCTGGCCATGGGGGATGGAACTGGCCAACAAGACCGCATAGCCTCTGGGATTTTTGAACATAACTATGGAAAATCACCATTTTTCTGGATTTTTATGGGTAGAATGGTCATTAGCTATGTTAGTTTGCCAGAGGCTAACCCAAAATCGCTGGGAACATGCGGAGACACCACAAACTGCTGAGGCGTCATGACGCTTCACCGCAGTTGATGGGAATCAAACAGGGGGTAAATTCACCATTTATATTCCATTTATACCCTCTGGTGAACTAACATAGCAATGGAAAATGGCTATTTATAGTGGATTTTCCCATTAAAAATGGTGATTTTCCATAGCTATGTTAAATTACCAGAGGGTAGATGATTTTCCACTTTCAAGTCGTCCATTTCTAAGGGATTTCCCATCTAGCCACCTTTGAGGACGAGAGTCTCAGAGGGTCCATATATATTTTTTGGGCCAAGAAATGGGTGTGTCTGAAAATGTTGTGTAGCCCTAAACCCAATGGTTAATGATCATTATCCCTATTAAATGGCTATAATTGGGAATATGCCCTATTTTCAGACATACCCAAATGTACAGAAACACTTCTCTGCTTCTCTGGAATCGATGATGGTGAAACATGTCAGCGCTGTGTAAGGTGGGATTCCTAGCATCTCAACGGGATGTTACATCGCAATTCAGTCAAGGCCAAATTCGACTCGTTGGTCCTTTAAACCCCATGTCAGCGCACCATATTTTGCAGGCTTAGATGGAGTTTCCATCCCCAAAACGACCAGATGTCACAGCGAGGATTTCGACTCCCATCACGGATCTCTTTGGAATCCAGCACCCGGTACCTTGCCGACCGTGGAAATCAGGTGCTATGGTTGATGATTTTTACACGGGGTCCCCAGTGTAAGAAAGCACCAGATCCAAAACATGACTGGGACACCAATACATGATTTTAGACGATTGATGATTGAAGGGTGTTGGATATCACCATTTTAGGAGTTCCACGATAGATTTACTGGGTGTATTTCATTATCCATGCTGGACCTTCCACTGTCCACCCTTATACTGCAAGAAAGGCTTCGTTTGGTGCTCGTGGTGCACACTTCAGAGCAGCTTTTAGAGGTCGAAAAAGTTCTCTGTACTATGACGTGTCCTAAAATTGGTACATGACATGGCATCATTAATCAGGATTTTTCACCAAAACCAAGACCTGGACTCCTAGGGGGCTTGCCCTGCCCCCTGAACCGTCAAGCCTCATTGAGAGGTCTTATGAACCATCCATTATTCAACCCGAAAAAAGGATATGGAACAGTACAGTCAACCACTTAATTTCAGAAAAGGAGAACAGGATTCACTGGCGTCACTGGGTCACCGGTCACCGGTTTTTCAGCTCCCCAAGGTCCTGCTGGCCGGCATGAACATCGCAGCCAGCCCGCAGCTGGCTGCAGCGGTGACCAATGCTGGAGGTCTAGGGGTGTGGGGAGGTGTCTTCTACACCCCCAAGATGTTCCGTGCCAAGCTGAAGGACGGAGGATTGGGATGTGGGGATGGCCATTCTTTCGACAGAAAGTGATTTAGCCAGTTCTTGTGGTATGACATCTATGGGAAACATTCTGTGGGAAGAATAAAGAAGCTGCATGCTTTCCGGAAAAGAATATGGGACAATGGTAATTATTGGGGAAAGCGGATGGCTAGTCAACTTATGAGCTGATCAATAATTACTTTACTTCGTGTGATCCCCACCATGACATTTATACATTTTCTTACTGGCAAATCTTCTGGCATTCTATCTGACATATCTTCTGACATTCTATTTGGCATTCTATCTGGCTATCTTCTGGCATTCTATCTGGCATATCTTCTGGCATATCTATCTGGCATATCTTCTGGCATTCTATCTGGCATATCTTTCTGGCATATATTCTGACATATCTTCTGGCATTCTATCTGGCATATCTTCTGGCATTTCTTCTGGCATCTATCTGGCATATCTTCTGGCATATTTTCTGGCACTATCTGGCAAATCTTCTCTGGCATTCTGGCATATCTGACATATCTTCTGGCATTCTATCTGACATATCTTCTGGCATATATTCTGACATATCTTCTGGCATATCTTCTGGCATATCTTCTGGCATCTGGCATTCTATCTGGCATATCTTCTGGCATATTATCTGGCATTCTATCTGGCATATCTTCTGGCATTCTATCTGGCATTCTATCTGGCATATTCTGGCATTCTATCTGGCATATCTTCTGGCATATCTTCTGACATTCTTTCTGACATTCTTTCTAACTTTCTTCTGCACATTCTTTGTCCCATATCTTCCTACATGAGGTCCGGCAGGGAACACTTGGCGTGGATACTCGCGGTTGAGGTCCGGCAGGGAACACTGGGCGTGGATGGTCGTGGTTGAGGTCCGGCAGGGAACACTGGGCGAGGATGGTCGTGGTTGAGGTCCGGCAGGGAACACTGGGCGTGGATGGTCGTGGTTGAGGTCCGGCAGGGAACACTGGGCGTGGATGGTCGTGGTTGAGGTCCGGCAGAGAACACTGTGGATCGCGGGTCGCAGTTGAGCAAGGACACGAGGACGACGAGGACGACGAGGAGGACGAGGAGGAGGAGGAGAGGAGGACGAGGCAGGAGGAGGCGGAGGAGGAGGAGAAGGAGGAGGAGAAGGAGGAAGGAGGAGGAGGAGGCAACTGACATAAAATCTAACAACCCTCACCTGGCAGGTGGGGAAAAATCGATGTTGCTATGTAGTCTCCTGATGATATTGTCTGATTTGCTAGTTCAATCGTTGTTCTTAGTGCGGCTCAAAAGTTGGGGTCAAAACAGCTGTTGGTATGTAAACTAACCTTGCGTTCAAAAATCACCATTTGCAGATGATTCCCTTTTGAAAATAACCGTTTTCCCATTTGCAGATGGTTCACATTTTCAGAGGATAGTTGTTGTTTCGATCCCTGGGTTGATGTAATGCACTGGGGTTCAGGGAAAATCCGTGTTTTCATGAATTGACCAGCCAAATCCATGACTTGTAGGAGCTGAAAGAGAACTTGAAAGATCCCAACGCTCCATTCGGCGTGGACCTTTTGCCTCTTGGCACAGCGGTGGGTTGAAGGGCAAGTGAGTGTGGCTCAAATATACAAAAGAAAGAAAGAAAGAAAAAAAGAAAAAAAAAGAAAAATAGATAGATAGATCCTAGATATAGATATAGATATAGATATGCATATGTAGATCTATAGATCTATAGATATATAGGTATATAGATATATATAATTTATATAGACATATACGTGTATATATATATATACACATAGATCTATATACATATAGATATACGACATATAGATATATAGAGATCCTCAATTCTGCATGGTTAGATATCAGAAACAAAAACAACAACAAAACAAATTGCGTGTGGGTCCAACATGAATATCCCATTTTTTTGAGCCATCGAAATCTACTGAAAACCATGAGGATTTTGCCAGCCATTAGATAATGTAGTGGTTGAGGTCTTGGTGGTCCCTTCACTTCGACATGTGTACTTCGAGCTCTCTGCAGGTCGTTTTAGATCACAGATGATCACAGAAATTCAGGGAATCCTCCTGGCTATCGGAGGTTCGTTCTGTGGACAATCTCAAACAACAAAAACCGGGCGAGAGGTGCCGGCAGTTGGTGGTTTCGTTTTGTGAACATGTCTATCTCTACCTGGGGTGATTTTAGCCCAATGACTTTCACATCTGGGCTGTCACATCTTTTGAGATGGCGCAAGCGCGAGCCAACTCAGGGTACAATGGTATTATGTTCGTGATGGCTCGTAAATTCCCCAATTCAATGATCCTTGCGATCAGGATGGTTTATACCTGGTAAACCCACAGATCAACCTCTAGACTCCAGTTGGGTATGCCATGGTATGCCGTATGCTGATGATATCCCTCCCAGGGCCCCCTGGGGGCCCCTTGGGCTCACTGAGGCTCCCACAGGTGGGTTCTGGTGCTCGTGCCACCAACTATGACTACACCAAGGGAGATCCTCAGCTGCACTCGATCGGGCGGCAGGATGCAGATGGATGCAGTGCGTAGCAATCCAACTTTGCAAAATGGGGTGCCAATGAAACAATCATGGAACTGGATGATGGGAAAATTTACAGGAAAGCCCATCAAATTTGATGGTAAAAACCATGGTTTCCGGTTAAGATTTTCCCTTAAACCAATCCAATGAAACAACAAGTTTGGTCATTCACAATACCAAGCATCCGTGTTTGAGGATCAATGTTGATCCACAACTGCATCACTGAGAAAAAATGGTTGTGAACCCACGGAAACTCCCATTGCCGGGTTCCGTTTTTCCAGAGCATAGTTATGCACACTGATATCGTCATTGTCATTTTGATATCCCTCATAATCAAACGTCACTGGTTAGGTTTTAGACAGAAAACTACAGAACACCTATGGACTTAGCAGCCAACTGCATGGGATTTTTGCCGGTGGATTTTCCTATGCCGGAAACCAGTCGATAGGAATCCATCGCCCAATTCCTAGGACTTGCCTGAGCTGATTGACATCACCATCGCAGCGTGGTTTGAGAAGAGGAATTCCAACTGGATCCCCTCAGTGGTCGATGGAATTTCCATGGGAATTTCCATCCACGATTCGGATTTCATCAGCGAACACCTGGATTTCCCCGGGAATGTTTGACTTCACTGCAAGAAATTGCAGACTTCACCAGCAGAAATTGTGGATTTCACCAGAAATTGGATCCTTTTTTAGCAGATCCTGGGGATTTCAGCAGTGATTTGCAGAGATTGATTGCTGCAACCAGCAAAGAGGATTATGATAGAGAGGTGGGGATAGGTCAAGCTATTTGGCAGTGGAACAGACCAAGGATACCATGGATAGCATGGATAGCATGGGTCCACTAAACATCACCCTATGCCAAGGAAATGGGTGCGAAGCTCTTTGTGAGTGCTGTGGGTGTTCCACCCAAGTGGCTCGGGTGCGGAAATGGCGAAGGGAAACCGTGATCCAAAGCTAAGACTCAGAGTGGGCAGCCCACAGCTATAACTACGATTGCAATGAGATGTAAGTGGATATCATGGGGGACTTCATATATACATATATGATATGTTTCTTAAATAATCGGGTCAATAAATATAAATAACGGCCGGGTTATTTCAAGTTACTTGGACACGAGGCCCGGTGTTCGATAGATCCTTTCAAGCAACTTCCTTTCAACATTGTGAAGTTGCGACAGGTGTTTGCATTCATTTCGATATCTTAAGATATGCGTTCATCATTGCTGGTGACCTAAAGATCCGAATCTGAAGATCGGTGCAAGGTTGAGAACCCGAAACGAGCTGAAGGTCCAAGATATGATCCATTAATATCAATTCACCTGACCCTGAAGCACCAACTATCTGTAGAGCTGGGTTTAACCTTTTCCATTTGAAACGTGCGTATCATGTGGCCTTCCCCTGGGCCACTGGGGGCAGCAACTGGTGCACAATCGAAGCCAGAACTGCTGGGTGGTGTCTTTTCTTTTCCCATCCCCCAAAATGCCACACAAGCAAGGTTTGTGGTGGACAAACTCCATGCTGCTGGCATCCCGGTGCTTTGGAGACAGGGACCATCTTGGTCTTGGGATACTTAGAGGTTTTGTTGGGTATCAACCATCCAATTTTGGGGCCACAAATTTGAGCCATACAAACAGACCAAGCCATCAATCTGCTCCATTAGCTGTGGTTTACCGTAAACCGTGGTGTTTACCGATACCATAAAGTTTTCAACGCTCCAGTTGGGGATGGTCTATGCTACCCGTTTATTTTTTTCTCGCATCTTTTTTGGATGGTTGGTGGTTTGGAACCATGGAATTTTATGACTGTCCATTAATATATATTGGGAATGTCATGATCCCAACTGACGAAATCAGATCTTTCAGAGGGGTAGGCTGGCTCAACCACCAACCAATTTGGATGGTCCAAGCTGTGCCAAGCTGTGCCATGTCCACCATACTCTGGGTGAAGGTGATGAACATGGTAGGTGCGCCCAAGCACGTGGAGAAGGCCTTGGAGGCGTCCGAGCGATGGATGGGTGCTTGGCAGGGCATTTCTTCAAATATATTAGGTGAATTCCAACAATCTATTTTTTTTACATAAAACTCACACACACACACATATGATCATATCATATGTATATAGTATAATACATGAACTATAGTCATAATATGATTGAATTTTGATCACAATGATCATATTATGGATCAAAAACCATGAAGTGTCATCAACTATCATCACATGCCTCCATGTTTTGCAGTTTTCGGCTGATGACCGACGCCATGGATCGCTGGGAACGCTTGGGTCGCCTGGGGGTTGGCCAAAAGCCGCTCGTTGAAGAGGCGCCACGGTGTCGCCACGGTTTTTTTCCACGCATGTTTTGGGGGGATCAAATGACGGTGTCATTGTGATACCCTCTGGTAATTTAACATAGCTATTGAAAATGGCCCATAGTGGATTTTCCCATTAAAAATGGTGATTTTCCATAGCTATGTTAGGTTACCAGAGGGTACATCCTGCTAATTGGGGGAATCTTTTTGTGATCTGAAGATTTGCGGTAACATTGTGAAAACTTCCCAAGTCTAATGTTGAATCTTGAATTCACTTGCTAGTTCAGAGGGTGTTCAAGTTTGGCTGACCTGACAGAACGACATACTCTCGAGGTACTTTCGAGTTTGCGGGCACAGTACCCGTGAGTATTGGGTCAATACAATCCCCTGGTAACTGGATTGTTTCCTCTATCTTTGATTCTTACTTCTAGTCGTCGTACATTTCCTATGGGTGCTTTTTGGTTTTGGGTTTGGAGATTGGAACATGTCTTAGATTATTCAACAGGATTTGGATTTTAAAAAACCACACTAAGAGTGCTCTGAGTGCTCTCCCTGTCGAGATAGTCCAAGTGGTCCGAGAATTGGGACATTGTCATTTCGTAACATGTTCCCGAAACTCCGGAACCCCCAGTGTTCAAGCTCTAAAAACACCTTTCATATCCTTTCATGTTATATTTGTTGAAGACAGTACATCCCTTGATTCTTACACCTATCGTTAATCTGGTCTCCACTGGGTTCTGAAACCCCTAAAATGGTTCAGGATTGGCCACCGGAGCTGCCAAAGCCAACAGAGGTGCCATTTGACCCGACAGATTTTGTTTGAACCGGGCCACCGGAGCGGCATGGTGAATTTGGGGTTCACGCAACATGTTCCACCAATCAGAGAGATTGTTCCCTATGGATTTCACCTTAATTTTGGCACAGACACCCGGAAGTCACCAGATTGTGGCTATGAATTATCCGATATTAGGCCCATTCTGGCTTCTCATAATTTTCTCCCGTTCCAATCGCTAATTTGGAGAAAATCCACATGACTTCGTGCAAGGAGTAGGGTATTATGGGTATTGCTAACAATCAAATGGAACAGAATGGCACCAACAAACCATCATAGAATAAGATCGAGATGTGAGAAATTGATAGAAATTGAGCTAGGCTTGCATGATCCAACATGATCCAATGCTTCAAAAGCCTATTTCCCACAGTTCCCACAGTAGAAAAACTGGAACTTTGGGACATCCCATGGCATATTCCAAGCAGGTCATAGCAGATGATGAGTCGACGGTCTCAGATGTCGATTCGCTGCAGGCCTGGATCAACTCAGAAAATACCCCCCGCCAGACTGACCCATGACTGGTGGATCCAAGCTGAAACCTATTGGTGTTTGTACCTATATACTGTTATATATATATAATATATATTTATCTATATATATGTTATATATTTCTATTTGTCCCTCTTGTGACGGATAATTACTAATCCCCAAGGATTCATGTTTTTTTGGGGGGAATTGAACCTAGAATGGATAGATTTACCAGCGGGGGAGCACATGAAACCAACATTTTGGATGCTGCCAAGTGCCAAGGTGGTATTTTGTGCGACAGTTGAGATATAGGTTGGTCCAAAGTCCAAGGTCATCATCCAATAAAAGCAACATGTTTTTCCAATAATTTCAAAAAACCACCGGAATTTGGGGATGTCCCATGGTTTGCCGTATACATAAAGCATCATTGAATTTCTCAGGATGAGATGGTCTTGAAGAAACCAAGAATATCCAAAGCCAAGAAGCATCCATCGTGGTTCCAGAAGCAAGCCACACAAGCCTTCCAGCAGCAACTGGATCGAAACCGCAGAAGCTTCGAAGGATCCTGCCAGAAACGAGAGCAGGATGTCCTCGGGAGATGCGGTGATTTGTGTGAAACGTGGGTGGAAATATGGAAACGGGGTGGTGAGTGGTGAATTTGTTGATGTTTTGCCAGAAAAGGAGAATACATATAATACGTATGTATATATATATATATGTTGTAAATAAATATTTTGAAATTATACATATATATATATATATGTATGTATATATATATATATAGTACAGTACATACAGTCACTGTATATGGACAGATGTAGTAATTGTGTACCAATATGTATCACTATTGATTCTGCACGCCGTGTATACATGATGAACTTGGGCCTTGGAGGACATGGAGACTTCGATTTCCAGAATTTCACAGATTTCTTCGATTGTCTGGAAAGTTTTGGGTCGCTGACGCTCCCACACACTTTGATTTGGCCCTGACCCCTACCAGCCACCCCTGAACTGGGATTTTGTGGTGCGGCAGGCATCAAGGTGTGGCAAGGTGTGTAAGCATCTATTTTTCTGTACAGGTTTCTTTTGCACCAAAGTGATAAACACTTTGGTTCTCCAACCTCGGAACAGAGTGGTTGGACATTGGCCATAGGTGTTTTGATTGTCTTTCTGTCAGGTCTGCCCTTACCACACCGGTGAGCTCAGAGCCAGAACCCAATTTGCACGGTCGAATTCGCAAGGCCACGGTCGAACGATCGGTCGCGGTCAGTGGCTTGTCAGCTTGCTTTCCCACCATAGGTGTTCAAACTCCGCCAACATCGTTGGGGATACCAACTCAGCAAAGACACCAGGCAAACGCTGAACAGCGGGGCCTTGCGGGGCCACTGGTGGCTGTTCAAGTCAAAACCTGTAATTTTCTCCATGGAAAAAAACGGCGTTCATGCGGTTGTCCATGGTTGTCCGGCTGCAGCAATGGCAGTCCTGGTCGTGAAGTCGACTCAACATGACTCAACAGATCAAAGGCACACCTCTGTGCCTTTGACATACGATAAATGGTGATTTTATTGGATTTGGATCATCATGGACTTCTACAAGCCATGTCCACCTTTTGACCGAACATTGCTGGAGACCCGTGTGGCAATGATGGCAGAGATTCTTCTGGTGTAATCCCAGTCAGAAAATGACTAGCGCGGGTCCCAACTATGGCCAAAAAATGCCAACAAAAACAATCCCCAAGACCCAACATGATATCCATGTGATATAACACATGATATAACACATGATATCCATACCAGTAGTACCGCACAAGGCAGTGGCGGAAGTTTCAAAAATAGGAAACCTATAGGAGAAGTTGGTTGTTGTGAATCAGGGATGGCAGAGCGAAGCCACTGATTGACCGAAAGGTGGTTGGAGTTGTGTTTGCTGGAATGGTTGCTAATGGTTGCAGTGGTCACCTCACCCACAACTGCTGGATGTAGTGTGATGTACTGCAAGTGTAGTTGTAGTTGTAGCGTGGTGGAGTTGTAGTTGTGGTGTAATGTAATTAGTGTAGTGTAGTTGCAGTCATATGGTTGTAGCTGTAGTTGTTTTGTAGTTGTAGTTGTAGTTGTTGTAGTTGTAGTTGTTGTGTGGTTGTAGTTGTTGTGTAGTGTTGTAGTAGTAGTAGTAGTTGTTGTTGTTGTTGTAGTTGTAGTTGTTGTTGTTGTTGTTGTTGTTGTTGCTGTTGTTGTAGTTGCAGTTGTAGTTGTAGTTGCAGTTGTAGTTGTTGTTGTTGTTGTTGTTGTTGTTGTTGTTGTTGTTGTAGCTGTAGCTGTAGTTGTTGTAGTTGTAGTTCTAGTTGTAGTTGTTGTGTAGTTGTAGTTGTAGTAGTTGTTGTTGTTGTTGCTGTTGCTGTTGCTGTTGTTGTTGTTGTTGCTGTTGTTGTTGTAGCTGTTGTAGTTGTAGTTCTAGTTGTAGTTGTAGTTGTTGTGTAGTTGTTGTAGTTGTAGTTGTAGTTGTAGTTGTTGTTGTTGTGGTTGGTGTTGTTGTTGTTGTTGTTGCTGTTGCTGTTGCTGTTGTCGTCGAAGTTAGGGTAGTTAAGTTAGTGAAGTTAGTTAAGTTAGTCAAGTTAGTTAAGTTAATCAGTGTCTACTTTTTCGACATCTTCACGTCAAAAAGGCTCAAAACCCTCAGTTTTTTACACTTTTGACTTCGAAATGTGCTTCGCGCCACAACGGCGTGCACTTTTTCGACACTTTTTCGACATCTGAACCTCCAAAAGTGGTCCGAACATGGTGTGTTTTGTACATTTTGACTTCAAAATGTGCTTCGCGCCACAACGGCGTGCACTTTTTCGACATCGCAACTTCCAAAAGTGGTCCGAGGTTGCGGTGTTTTGTACATTTTGACTTCAAAATGTGCTTCGCGCCACAACGGCGTGCACTTTTTCGACATCTCAACTTCCAAAAGTGGTCCGCTCCTCTAGTGCTTTGTCCATTTTGATTTGGAAATGTGCTTCGCGCCACAACGGCGTGCACTTTTTCATGTCTCATCTGGCCAGCTGGCTCCGCACCCGCCGCTTTAGCGAGCCTACTTTTCGACCCTCCGGAGCCACAAGTCACAAATCATTGGAAAAACACAGTGAATCGCGACTTTCCTATCTTTTCGCGCATCTACCTCTTCTTTCTTCTGATCTTGTCTCTTCTGACTCTTCTCACCTCTGCTTTTCAACTGTCCATATTGTCGGAAGTTTCACTTCTAAACTTCCTTCGATGATATCCTTAGCTTCAACATGTTTCCAGATGTCTCAGAGTTCTTCACCCGTCGAACGAAGCGCAGTGTTCGGCTCGCCCCTCGGATTCCACCGGCGGCGGCGCCATGGATCGCTGGGAACGTCTGGGGCGGTTGGGTGCATCTAAGAAGCCTTCGGTTGAAGAGGAGCTGGGGAAACCAACTGGGGAAACCAACTGGGGAAACCAACTGGGGAAACCAATTGGATTGGATGATTGGATGATGAGTTTTGGGATTATCAGAAAGATTATCATTGGATTTGGCCCGATTGATCACCCAGACATTGATAAAAGGTCCGGGTTCTGTCCAAACAGCAACTTCAAAAATGGGCTCCCCCTGAAAAGTGGCGCATGAATCATGCTCCACATTCAAACCGAGTGAATTCCATGGGTTTCTGCCTATATAAATCGATCGATTTTTAAATCGATCTTTCAACATGAAAAACCAAGGGAATTCCATGGGATATGTTGGGGATGCTAGGAACCTACGGCACTTCAAACCAACAATGCGGGCTTTAAAGCCGATCCCCAGCCGTTGAAAGTCGACGGGGAGTTTCACACTCCCATCCCCTGAAATGAAACAACCCATGGCCCATGATATCCCATGATTAATTTTAAGGTTGTATTATGTATTTACTAGTGGGGGACGGGATTTCTTCAACTTTTGGCTATTTTTGAGGGGGAAATATATTGACTTAACCAGCTATAGCTATTGAAAAACAAATTCATCTAAGATCGCCATGAACATGTGACTGCACGAGCCTATAAACTAGCGTTTCTGGGGTCGGGGCATGTTTATGATTCTGTGGGATTTTTCATTGATTTAGGGCATCAATTTAAGGCCCTCCCTAAATTGCCATTGTCACTGGTTACCTATTTCTCTGAGTTTCTTTCCAGTGAAGGTTTGGGAGCTTCGGGGGGAAAACGATCACCTTTCTTAAGGTTGGAGGTAGGCCTCACATGCTAAGATGTGGTCCATGGCCCCTAACAAAATCACCAGAAAACTGGGTGTCCAGGTCTCACAACCGCCTGCTTTTCTCCAGTTTGTTCCCCGTTCCCTCTACTGTCCTCAACAATATCTTTGTGTATCTCTACAGGTTGCAGCACTTACTCCAGGTCGAGAGAGTATCAGATTAATAAATCTACCTCAGTTGTTATATAGTATCAAATTACCAACTTAAGAGCAGCTGTCAGTCTACACAATCATAAGATTTAAAAGTCAAACATCCAGTTAAAGGATGTTAAAACATATATATATATATTATATACAGTATATATATAATCTGGTTGGTGGTTTCAAACATTTTTATTTTCTATAATATATGGGATAATCCTTCCCATTGACTTTCATATTTTTCAGAGGGGTAGGTATACCACCAACCAGTAATGTTACTACATATCTTACATCATCTTACCCCATTTTAAAGGGGTCAAACACCACCTGGTCCTCCATGGTCCTTCATGGTTCTCCATTGCTAAAAAGGACTGGGCACCAAGACCACCCCAGACCGAGGCCGAGATGGATCAGAAATCCAGTCCTCAGTTGGTAGATGGGATTCACATCCCATTGGTATAACCCACAATCCATCTGGGTAAATTATAACGACCTCACTGTTCTCCCTCACTGGAAATCATAGTTAATAAGGGGAATCATCCCCAAATGGCCTTAATTCAGGTTAGTGAAATATTATAATTTTCCCAGATCCATTGGTATATCTACATCCATTGATGGGTCCCATGGGTTAAAATCCAGATATCCCATATTGGATTTACCAGTTATGATGATACTACTGGGAATATCTACAATCCAAAGAGGTATGCTAGGCATATACGGAATATACATGGGACATGTTTTTTTTTCAATAGTTGGACAATCCAAGCAGGTATCATGGGATTATAACAACTATAGTTGGCAACAAATGGGATTATCCCAGTCTTATACTGTATATAATCCGATGACGTTTATCCCAGCTATACACCATTGGCAATTATTTACAGATGTCATAGGAATCCCAATAGATACCAACTGGTGCTGGATTTCGCAACCATCCACGCTATCATGCGGTAGATATATGGATTATATGTTTCTTTCCATATATAGATCCGGAATTACCTGCGTCAAAGATGGGGATTCAATCAGTAGACGATATGGATGTAATTATTATATATTATTATATATATATATACTCAAGTAGACTCATGTATTGCAACAACAGGCTTCGACTAGACAATGTAAAAATAATATAAATGCAGAGAAACATTGATAAAAGTAAGCCAGGCAGGAAAAATGCAACATAAACGTGCAATGGAAAAGTGATGATTTGGAAACAGCGAAACAAATACCTCTGGCAGAAACGAAAAAGCAAAAACAACTGTTAAAAGAAACGCATACATGAAAACAACGGAAGTGCTTTCAAACACAGTATGCACAGCTCCTTGGACAGAAGTGAACGTTGGTTTTAAAGCAGGGATCCCGTAAATTATATACTTGCTTTCTTCCTATCATGATTTGCTTTCCCAGTTTCTTTCCACGTGTTTTGGTATGCGATTCTAACAAAGGGAGTTCTCCCTTTGTTCGGATTTTTGATTTCATTCACTTGTTTCACAAACTGGTTTTCACTTTTTGTTTACTTTTATGTTCACTGGTTTTTTACTTTTTTAAAACTGGTGTTTTCAATTTTTTCTGTGGTCGTTTTCTTTGTCACTTTTTTCATTTTACAGATTTCCAGTCGAAGCCTGGAAAAAAAATGAAACAAAACCATAAACGTAGACAAAATGGGGATTTGGTCAGTCAAAGTAGGGATTTTACCAGCAAAAGGTTCGAACGATGATATTTTTAGGGATTCTGATTTAACAAATTGGGTGCTTGACTAGCAAAAACAGGATTTGAATCAGCAAACATTGTGGGTTTGAATCGCTGAAGAAATGATTTTCAACAAACATTACCCTCTGGTAATTTAACATAGCTATGGAAAATCACCATTTTCAATGGGAAAATCTACTATAAATGACCATTTTCAATAGCTATGTTAAATTACCAGAGGGTACACTTGTTTTTAACCCGCCAATATGTGTCTGGCGCAAAACTGGGGTACCGAGCCGACGTGTGGCTGGTAGTTTTGAGATTTGAAATATCCATTTGAGCCAATATGGACATATTTGGTTGATGATTTCCCTGACACTGTTGTTTTATGTTATTTTTCCATCGTAACAGTTTTTTTTTGCATGAGTTAAGAAAGGACCAATCAGCTTGAATCCTTGAGTTTTGGATAGAGTCTTCAGATTTGGTTTTTGACCTTGACGAGACAGAGAGAGCCGTTTCGACTGGTTTCATGGGGCACCTCCAACTCCACCAGTTAATCATGGTTCATCACCATTTTCCTTGTTCGAATTGCCGGTGGCCAAAAAACAACAAGTACCCCCCCCATTTTCCGATACAGCTGTATATCACTGTATATCTGGAAGATTCTGTGATTCAGTGATATTAATCAATATATATCAGTGATACAGTTATCCACCACTGAAGATCTGGAATGATGCCCTGGGGGGTAACTCTCCCAAAATGGTTTCAACCAATCGCCGACGAGGCCAGTGACTCAAGTTGTGGCCCCACGTTGGAAGAGTCGGCTGTGGAGGAGCAGGACAAGTCGGATAATCCGACTATATGCTTAATGATGGTAGATGTTTAACAAGTGTTTAACACATGTCTGGAATTGTATAAACAATGGTTGTCCATGGTTAGTGGTTTTCTTGTGATTAATAGTACCAGGTTACCTCATTTTACCATTGGGTTCAATGCGGGATATCATCAGGACGTGGGATGTACAGAAAAAAAAACAGGTTTCAAGCATGTGAACATGTTCAATCCTCAATGATGGGGTAGCCCAAAAATGGATTGCTTTTTTTCAGTCAGAAACCATGATGATAAGATCTGATAAGGGCCGGGATGAACCTGTGATACTTGTTTCATAGGAATTGAAGTAGATTCACCAAGGGCATCGGAGATATCCAGGTGGGAGGGATTCCTATGGGACAGTGATGGAATCCTATGGGCATCTGGATTGGAGATATCCAATGGATTCCTATGGGACATCATGGGATATTGAGGATGACCAATCATCAGCTCTTTTGGGTACCATATTTTCATCCTCTTCAAAGCAACACTCGGGCCATGTGTCTCTGGAACTGCACGATGAATTCATGTGAAGCTCCCAAAATGACTTAAATTTGCTGGGCCCATTGCGGTACAGCCATCCCCATTCCTTTAACGGACCCAGAGAAATCCATTCGGGCTTGGCGAAAAGTGTTTGCTTGGCATTTTCGTGAAGTGGGGCAGTAGGATTGATTGTTTGAGATCAAACCATTGCAGGAAGATGAGATGGACATGATGGACCCGGTCAGGCCGGTCCGGTCCAAATCAAAAAAACGACCATCTTGGTACCAGAAAGAGGCTGCGGATGAGTTCTTTGAAGAGTTGCGGCGAAAGCGCAGGGATTTCAAGAGATCGGTTCAACAACGGGCGCAGCAAGATGTGGTCAGTGCTACGCCCAGCATTTCGAGTATTTCCTCCATGGTCCGGAAAGCTTTCAGCGGCTGATGGCCGGACATTGAGTTGGCGTTGGCTTACCAGTGCCCGCTTCAAACCACCTCCGCAACTCTGTGGGAAGTGGAATGGAAAGTTTAGTACAGCCTTTGAGCACAACCCTTCAACCTGCAGGCCATTATGGCTGGATTGAGGGCTGTTGGCTTGTTTTGAATCCTTTGGGATCTCGCAGCTTCCTGCAGATCACCCGTTTTGCGCCGGGATGGGCTGTCGCCTTCGAGCGTTTTCCCACCTGATGCTACAGAGCCCCGTGAAATGAAATTCATGGCGTAAATGAGATCGCCTGGATAGCTTTGTCATCATTTCCACTTTACTCCATGTTGTCAAATTTGCTTGGCTGGCCACCCAAATCTGCTCAAATGGTCTCTACTTCAATGTGGCAGGCCAAGCATTTGAGGTGGCCTGCGTGACACAATGCTTGGCAAAAATGCAGCTGGTTGAGGGTGCAAGGTACCGGTGATATGTTATGGTAAAGATATGTCTGGTATGGCTGGTAAGGATAGACCCTGTGTTTCAAAGGTATGGCTGGTATGGTTTATGAGATCGGATCTTCTTACCATGGTGTGCAGGGCCAGCTCATGCCTTCGCGTGCATGGAGAACGTGGAGACGTGGGTATGGCCCCCTTTACATTCCGAAAATGTAGGCCGTATAGGTCTGTAGGGTCATGTAGGTGCCAAGTTTTGGTTGGCCCAGCTTATAGTAATCATTGAGTAACCCCCAAAAAGGATGCCGAAATCAGTAGGACTTTACTGTTGTCCAGTTGGGATGATCAAGCCATGTTTGATTCCGGGTGGGAGTATATGATCAGTTCATCTACCCCAGCTTCTAACCTACTCATTCACCTAGCAGCCTAGATTTCGGACGTCGATCCTCTTTCATTCTCATCCTTCTCGTTGTCTAATGTCCGGGACTAAGAAACATATGTATACATCTGTTTGATTTAACCACGGGTTATGAACATGGCACCCCAATGATCAAGAGATATCAAGAGCCACGGATATCACCAATTCCAAAGGAGTATCACTGCCATCCTGGCTGCCATGGGTCATTAAAATAGGTGCCAAAGCCAAATATAATTCTTGATTAATACATACATACATACATATATAATCATGAAGTACTGTACATATAGTTACAGTATACATATATAAAGTTACAGTATACATATATATATATATATATACAGTTACATAGTTATACATATATAGTTATACATATAGTGTTATACATATTTATATATATATATATGTACATAGTTATACATATATATATATATATATATACACATATGTATATATCATATATTATATATATATATATCTCAATATGTATATCCGAAATACAATTGGCCAGATATTTAGAAGCGTCCACTACTTCGCCAGGCAGGCGTGGACATCATCTGCGCCCAAGGAGTGGCAGTGGCTCTATTGTGGAACAACCAGATTCCCATTACGGATCCATCTGAAAGTTGCAGTTGTTCCTATGAAAAAAAAAACATCCGGTCGGTTGACAAAGACACCTAATTATGTTTGATCTCCATGTTTTTGTTTTAACCAAGATTGTTGATGATTGAACACACTCATGTTGAATTTTTGATGTTCAAAGACATGTTCTTGATGATAAATTCCTTATTGTTTGAAACTCTAATGTTGTTTCTTCAACTGCACATTGTTGCTAGTACAACCACCATTTCTGCTGGTTGACCCCCAGTGTTTGCTAGTTCACTGCGCCAACCTCCCATGTTTTTCCCAGTTAAAACCAGATATGTTTGATCCATTTGCCGTATTTTTGCGTGGCTAGAAATTGGGGAAAATCATGGCAACTCCCCAAAACATGGTCCCCAATTTTCAAAACCCATACATCCCAAATAATGTTGCTTGTATCCCCAATACATCCCATGACATATGTGACATATCCCAATGATCATTTTTCTGTTCAAATTGTCACTTAAATTTGGTGAAACATCCGCCAGTTCTGATATGGGTTTGTCGGAAAACAAGGTACCCCGAGTGCTTTTCCCATTTTTCAACGGCCATGCGAAGGGGATACCCCATTCTCAGACACACTCATATTGGAAATAGATTGTGATATATCCCATTGTATCCCGATATTTTTGGTGGGTTAAAGCCAACGGCTAAACCAATCCCCAGATTGGTAAAAATTATTGGCTGCAAAAAACTGCTGACAGGAGGTGAGGGTGGAGGTCACACTGGCGATGTAGCCACAAGCACCTCATTCAGCAGACTTTTTTGGATTCAGTGGGATATGATGGCGAATGGGCTGAGGTTTTGAATCATGGGATGGACTGGCCATTTTTAGATAAAGCATTCTACAAATTGTGCCCAATTTTGATCCATACCCATATGTACAGTGTTGCTGTTATTGTCAGCAATGTGAACACCAATCCCAGTCTATCATTGCTGCTATCTTTGCTATAGCTCAGTTTCCATTACTATTATCAACAGTTTGTTGATTCTGATTGTTGCCATGAGGATAATTAGCCCAAAGAAAATACATCTCGAATTTTGGAGGGATTCAGCACCCCTGTATGGAGAAATTGGTGATGGTTTAGTATCGGGTTTACCACATCCTTTTTCCTATACATACTATACATACTATACATTAAAATACATTAAATACATATCAAACAACTGCCGGCGTCACTTTGTGGGAAGATGTGAAATCACCATTCCCTCGGAGTTGCCTCGCGGTTATAATATATATCCCAACGTATGGGAGTGCACAATTATGCTGGGTATACCCATGCTCCAACTGTACCCCCTATGTAGGTTGGCTACAACTTCAATAGAACGGGTTTCGAGCTGGGCTTTGATAGGTTTGGTAGAGCTGCATCATTATGTGCACTGCATGCCTTACGCACACTGCTTGCACTGCGCTGCACTACATATATAACCTTACATTGGGTTATATGGCATGAGAAGAGATGACCTGACACGATATCACGGCGCTACAGTGGTTTCTTATGCATCATGTAACTCAGAGTTTGCCAAAGCATGTCACACCACATCGCTTTTCATAAAACTACAACGTACAAAAACAGGAAATTACACCATTACACTCGGATGTCGTGTTGCACACCACGCTAGATGCGCTGCACTGGGGATTTCACCTGGAGATTGAGAAGCAATTTCCCCAATTTCAGTGATCGTGATGGATCATGGCACCATGGCCCGGCTCAAAATCTCGGTGCTTAAAAACATCAAGAAACATCAAGAATTCTGATTTTTTGTGGTCAAGTTTCCAATTTTTTTTTTTGGTAGATCATTTTGAATCATTCCCCGAGGGTTGATGCTGAGAGTGCTGAGGCATTTTGATTCCCATGGTGGTGGACATTTGCAAGGGCCACAAGTCGCCACTCACAGGCTGGGCCTGGTTGATTGTCCTGGCAGTCCCACGGAGGTTTCAGGTTTCGGCTGGAAATGTTTTGTTTAGTTCATGTTTTTGGCCATAGCTGCAATTCCATTTTTGGCTTGCTGTATCACTTGTAATTCCAGGGAAGGCTGGTAGAATACCCGAAGGTTTCAAGGATATTCGCAAGTTTGGCGTGCTCTTAGATTCTTCGCTGAACCCCCCCCGGCCTTTTTTTGACAATCTGGTTCTCAACTTTCCCCCAAGTTTTCAAACAGATCCATAAACCCCCACTGGCATATGCCTGTACCAAAGTAACTTGCTCAGAGCTGGACAGCCCCAAACTCAGCTGAGATATCTTACGGTCACTTCCATTTTCTATATGAACACTTTTTATACATACCTATGATCTATCCAGTCACTTGGGGCCGGGATCCTCCTTAAGTATACCATTCATGGTGCATACCCCGAAATCACCAGAAATCCCGGAATTTGATAAAGGCAAAAGTTGCGCCCCTATGATTCATTGAGAAGATACGGATGATATGGTGTGATGCTGATTTTTGCTTGTCCGATTTTCCCGCAAACCATGTCAAACCAATTGAACGAAGATCACGAGGAGAATCACCAGAAAACAGCAACAATATCGCCAAGGATTGGCAGACAAACCGGGGGAATTGTCCAAAAGACATCAACAAAAATCACCCAAAACAAAAACGTACCACAATGATCACCAAAGATCACCAAGGTGTGGATGTATCACTGAGGATGGACGGTTTTCTGGAAGTATCACCCACAAATCACCAGAACTACCATTGTAATCTATTGTATATAATACTCACACACACACATACAAACAATATATCCCATTTAAAAAAAAATCCTTTTGATTCCCATGAGTACCAAAAACGGTCCTAAAAATTTTCACATTTGGGTTAAGGTCTACCACCAATATTATGGTGCAGCAAACATATCCCCGTTCCTGATGGGTATCCCGTATCCTATTTCATACTTTGTTTGCTAGTTGCATTCCAAATGTTTAATGAAGTTTACACTCCTATTTTCAGAATTCTCCAATGGTGTTGATATCCCAACAATCATCGAGTCTTTTCCATGAACATCATAGATTTGCAGTATTGACATGGATAACCCCCCATGCCAACCCTGGTTCACTTCCATTTTCAATGCTTAAACAGTATTGAACACATAGTTAAACAATTATAAAACATGGTTAAACCACGTTGATACCCTCTAAAAATCATAAAATCTGACATACAACTATATAAAATCGTATAAACCCACATAAAACCATCATAAACCCAGCTTTTCTCCTTGCTCTTTCCGTCCTTCCTCGGTCCTTCCTTAACGGTCCTGCCGCGGTCTCCTCGTGGTCTCCAGGTCGGCAGGTGCCGGTGGTCGCCGCCGGCGGCATCTCGGACGGGCGGCACCTAGCGATGTCGCTGGCGCTGGGCGCGGACGCGGTGTGGGTCGGCACGCGCTTCGTGGCCTCCGTGGAGGGCGGGGCGCCCAAGGGACACAAGGACCATGGGGGATGGAGGGGTTGGGGATGGGGGATGGTTGGGGGATGGGAGAGGGGATGGGGTTGGGATGGGATGTGAATGTAGAATTTTCATTTAGATCTCTATAGATGATCTATAGATGTTTTTCTGGAGGGGGATGGGGATGGGGGGGATATAGATGTACAGATGGGCTTGGGGTTGGGGATATAGATGATTGGATGATTATAGATGATGAGAGTTTGAGATGGATATGGAGTTTAGATGTTGAGATGTAGATATTGATTATAGATGCATACAGTGTATCTATGATTTCTAGATTTAGTTTCTGATTTAGTGCTTTTCAATGGTTAAACATCACATGAAGTAGGGCTGGGTGGCTGGGATGGAGGATGCGCCGGCAATGGCCACCTGACCGGTTTGACCATATCGCGTTTCGAAGACCTGTATGTTTGATACATAGCGGCGGAAAATGCAAGGACATGAATTCAAAATGAACGCTTTCACACCCACAACAATCTGGAGATCTGTGGGACATTCACGTTTCTTGTTCAGAGAGCCCACCACCTGAGAAAACGATAAGAGTAAACAAAACGATAAATGACACGGGGGTTATACAAGCCCAGTGTTGTGCCCAATCATTCCATGCTCTGATAGATCTCCCCATACAGGGACCCCAAAATGAATGGATCAAATACTGGCTTTCGCAGTGTCAACAATTAAGTTTGTAACATGTTGATTCTCCATACTTGTATAAAATCCATCATAAAATAGAAATAGATTAAAATCCATCATAAATACATATAAATACCATGGTTACCATGTTGATTCTTGTTGGTATCCCTTAGATGTCCTTGTTCCATGGCATTCCATGGCTTGATGAAATCGGGCTCATCCCCAACAACCAAAAACGCTCCGCGAGGAAGATCTGGTGAAGGCCTCCGTGCACGACACCCACCGCACGGAGATCTACACCGGACGCCCAATGAGGACAGCTGTCCAACGTGGAAAGTCAACCAATTTCTGTTTTCACGGGAGGTTGGAAACCATACATAGATGATCATAGATGTGTAATTACACATGTTGTATGTGTTAGGTCTGTTAGGTTATGTATTTGATACAAACATACATATAGTATCATATAGTCTGTAATTATACATCAAGTGTGGTTTTTGGCCACCTGCAGACCAGTCCTGAGATCCACTGAACCCAAAGCTCAGGGATTTATCCACAACTTGCTGCTATCGGTATCAGTATTTGATGCCTCAAGTGGTCATTCTTCGCAAGTGTCAGTAATGACTATTTTAATCCACTTTTGAGTGTCAGTATTTGAATACATCAATCATCAATCCATTTTTGGGATTCCTACACTCATCTACACTCTTCATACGGGTTTGTCTGAAAAGAGCGTCATATTTCATATTAATGATCAGCGAACGAGGATCATCAAGAACAAGTACTCCGAGAATTGGGAGTTGGAACGAAGCAAGGAGATGCGTCGCTTAGTTCGCCCGTTCGCAGCCGGCAGGGATTTGGACATGACACACCAGGAGCAATCTTCTAGTTGAAGAAAGCCACAAAAATTGAGGGATAGGTGTTATTCCACATAATTCCACCAATTTCTATGAGAATTCTGGGGATACAAATTATGGCCCATATTCCCTGAAAAACTTGGATGAACCAGTTGCTCTCGCCGGTTGAATCCCCTGTTGAATCCCCTGAAGGGCGAACAAAATGCTGGTTTAGTCTCCGGAACACATCCCAAAGAAAAAGCAAGGTAATATTGTATCATATTCTATGATTTTATACTATACATATATTATCATATATTATATCCTGATATATATATATATACAGTATATGATTTCTTTCATATTACCAATTATGTGTATCATATGTTGTACATGTATGTATTATATGGTTTTTATATCGTACATACACTGTATATCTCAGGTGATCTCCTGAAGCAGGGAGTGATTCCCTACACCACCGATGTGGAGCTCCTTGAGGAGAAGGTGCCAGCGATAGCATGGGAATATATATTTATATATTATATATATATGCTATATATACTATTAGATATATACTATTAGATATATACTATTAGATATATACTATTAGATATATACTACGTACATAAATATAATAAGTTGACTTTTCAAGTCCATCAATTGAATCAAATGTTGTTCTCAGCCTGTTTCAAACAACCTTTTTTTTCACAAAACTTGGTGTGTGGACCAGGTCGGGGTTTCATGTTGTTCTCTAGGAGTCTTCAAAGAAACCGTAGTGCGCTAGAACTACTTCATAGGAACTCCTGCATGCACAAACCCAAGATGATAGGCTATGCATGGAGGGGTTGCTATGAAGTGGTTCTAATGTGGTAAACCCAATAAAAACAATCCCCAAATGGTATAGGTTTATGATTGGGTTTACCACATTGTAGTGTAATCACACATCTATCCTTGAAACCATCCATGCTCGTGTCACAAACCTGAAGGTCTTATCAGTTTACTTCTCTATGAAACTGCTGATGAATCGAACAATTCCGGAGGCTAGGACAGATGTTGAAGGATCGACGATAAGCATCGCAATTTGCCACTCTGGAGAGTCATCTACAATGACTAATCACATATTTCCAAGTGTCTGACACTTATACACCTACCACAATCATGAATATCATTATTCAATCTTATTCATATATCATTCTACTCGTACCTATCATTTATATGCTACCATCCTTTTTTCTTATCATTTAGTTTCCCATCGCCAAGGCGAAGGGGAACAAGAAGGATGTCCCAGTACCTGTAGGCGCGGATGCCATCCATCCATGGCTTTGTGGTCAGGTGGCCGGTCACTCGGCACATCTGGCCCATCTATCCGGGATCCCTTGAGGTCACAATGACGAGACCCCTTGGGGGATTAGACTACCCTTTATATATTGCCCTTTATATATAGCCCTTTATATGTGTATATATTATATATATATAAGATATATAATTATATATATAGATAGAGATATCATCCCATCATCCGGATTATCGCCGGATTATCAATGATTATTATAATCCATGAACGAGGAATCCCGCTCTTCACCAACCAGGATCAAAAGCAATATAAAGCAATTCATTGCGGGTTTTGACGATTGCTCAATTGGACAACCGTCAAACATTGGTGTTGATTTATCCAACTTCCATGACTGAGGCATGATCAACGACATTCTGCCAGCCAAGACCATTGCGGCTGGGCGGAACTCATCCCGCGTTTGGAAAAAATGGTGGCTGGATATGGCTGGATATGGCTGGATATGGCTGGATAACTCATAGATTTTAGATGGTGGGAGGTGCCTCAAATGATGATGTTGGCTTGTTTATTTTCCAAGGTCTTCATAGATGCTCTGTTGTTGTGGCCATGGCAATGGATCATCCAGCCATGGGAGAAATGGGCCACGGAGATGCTGCCAGGTGGAGAACATGGTGCTTCAAGCTGCTGAGATGATGCATCAGAATGCAGCCAGACTCACCCCGGCTGCACGCCTGTGAGGGGCGGAAAAGGAAGACTGGGACGTTTGAAGCAGAAACCTTCGGGCTGCATCCCGGAATTGGAAAAAACATGTAAAAACATGAAAAAACATGTTGAATTCCACAAAACTCAGCCAAAAATGAAACCTGCCGATGGCTCTGGGCAGCTTGTGGCAAATCTTTACTTCCAGTCCGAAGAAAATGCTGGGCTTCTTGTGTAGAGGCACTGCAACGCTCGGCAGCAATTGGCTGCTGGGTGGTATTGATTTGAGCAAATTGTGACACTCACGTCGAAGTTGTTTGTAAGTCACTTATATGGGGCTGGGTCAAAATCTATTATCTATTACATATATGTTTACCATATTTGAATGAATAACATGGAATAACCATCCATTAACTAGCTATTTTAGGGTACCTAGGGTACCAGGATTTTGACTCATAAACATGGATTTACCATGGTTCACACTACCTCAAAACCCCTGTCATGGCAGCACCAGGGCTGACCATGCTCATTTGCCTTCGAAAAAAATGGTGGGAGCTCCACTTTGGTGGAGGATAAACATGCTTAGATAGCCCTTGCGGACTGATTTTGATGGAGAGTCTAGATGTTTCATGATGTTTCGACATTGCTTTGATTTTACACCGTACCATAATGTTCTCAATTATCTGTATCATCCTATAGTCCCTGTAGTTATATATGACGAGACCTTGTTTTGATGACACCAAATTCACTTGTATATTGGATGATGCATGTTACCAGACCTACAACATCCTACAACCTTTGTCTTCATATCCGCAATCAGGTATTTACCCTCTGGTAAACTAACATAACTATAGAAAATCACCATTTTTAATGGGAAAATCCACTATTTCTATGGCCATTTTCACAGATTTCACAGATTTGTTGATCAGCCCATCGATCTTCCCGGAATCAGTTTGCTCAACATGAGCACCAGAGGCTTTTCCAGCGCTGGGCCATCGCAGTGGTGGAAAAAAACATGAGGGCCATGACTTACCAAAAGTTGTTGTATTTATGGGATATGATTCGAAAATCCAATTCAAAAATCCAACCTTGTACCCTCTGATAATTTAAGATAGCTATGGAAAAATTCCCAGCTAGAAGATGATTTACCTATCAATACTGGTGATTATCCAGAGAAAACTGTCAAATTAGCAAAGGTACACTCCATAGAATTTGTAGGTCAATGACAGGGCTAACCAAGGCCAACGACAGAGCTATGGCCACAGGCACGGCTACACCCCGCCTTTTCCACAACTTGATGGATGCAATGCGCAGAGAGCCCCGCTGGGCGCCACCCGCTGGAGGGGGGTCAGGTATCTTGCACCACCCGCCTCCGGCCTTTTGCAAAAGTGTGGCATTTTGGACAGGCCAGCTTTCGCTTGCCAAAAAAGCATCGAACCGCGACGCCGGCTGAAAAGGTGACCATCAAGCATCATCTTCCAAATCCATTACGATTCAGTTCCACATGTTTCCGGCGTATTGAGATGGTTGACCGTGGCAAGATTAGCAAATGTTAGCAACGAACATACCGCATGTTTACGAACCATTCACCAACCATTAAACAACATTACCAACCATTTACCATCCATCGATTGCATTTTAAGTGCATTACACCCCCCTTGTTCGTTGGATTTTCTTCCCCTATTTGCATCTCTTCAACCATCCATCCATTAAGTAGTAATCCAGTGACCCGAGCCTATGGTGCTTGCTAGCTTATGGTACTTGTATTGCCTGGTTTCTTGGAATATCAAGCGCACAGAAACATAATTGAAATCCCTGTCAACACATCATTGACAGATTTCGATCATTTGGATCCACTTTTTGTGTCTGAAACTATCAGAAAACTATAGAAAACTGTTACTTGCACCATGACACGTGATTCTTCAAGCCAACTTTTTTGGGTCGGTGAAAGATTCCTTATATTTTCCCCGCATTTTTTCAATGGTTTGACCATGTTTGCCCATGTTCAACCCATATTTTCCACAGCTTTCCACCGGTCTCAACGGCTTTTTTCCACGGCAACGACTGAGGCCTCCACCGGCCGATTTGCCAAAGCCATGGCTACCAACTGGCAGCGTGCAGGAGCTGCCACAACTGCCGCAGGCATGGTGGCTGCGACATCACTTGATCACTTGTTAATGATGGTTATTAATGGATAGTAATGGTCTGCAATGGTTAGTATATAATGGTTAGTATATTAATGGTTAGTATATAATAGTTAGATATAGTTAGTATATAATAATGGTTGATAATAGTTGATAATGAATGGCTGAAAAATATGGAAATAACGGGTAATTAGTACATTTGGATGAACAACTGATCATGCAACCTTAATAGATTAGTAGATAGATAAATAGAAAAAAACATGGATAGATTGATCGGTAAATAGATTGATTGATAGGCAGACAGATAGGCAGACAGATGGATACCTGACATATTTAGATCATTTTAGTTCTTTCGGATGGATTTCAACCACCCATCAGGTTTTGGGCCATCCGTTTTGCGCTGAGGCGCCGGTGGAAGTCTATGGTCCTTTGCCTTTGGAGGAGCTAGGCCACGATCCAGCAACTTTGGGGCTGTTCAATTTCCAGAAACTACTGCGCCCATTCCTTCTTGAAGTTTCATTGAAATATTCTGTATACATCTGTATCCTAGTACAAGCAATCCACAGGTGCTGGGTTGTTCCATTGGGCTTTGCAGAGTTTTTGGGTGTTTTTTTCCCTTCAATCAGCCAGGCATCAAGAAAGCCGTGCCAAACCTAGCTCGAGATCATTTTCGGTGATGAACCGTATGCCATAAACAATCCCCAAGTCTCAACCATTGGGGGGTCCTTTTCCATCAAATTCCTCAGGGTTTACCCACCCAGCTTCCTAGGCGACTTCGTTTCTGCAAGAAGGACAGAAAACTGCTCAGGTCGGGTGTTCAGCTCATGTGATACTGGGATATCTTACAAGAAAGCCCTGAATTTTATTGTAGACATAACCGTTTCCTGTATAATTTTTCCCTTGAATTCAATCCGTGTTTGATTAGTATATCATCAGTATATCCAATTTCACAGTAAACATCGAACAATTGGAGATTGAGAGCGCGCCAGGTTCACCCAGTGACCTGCAATTGCATTTGTTGAGGCCGGGTGGGATGTATAGTTGGAGCTTGTTGGGCTATGCACAGACGCAGAAGCAATCAGAAGCAGAGTCATATATATATATATATATTATATGTATATATAATTATATAATATGTACTATGTATAGACTATATATATATATAATTGTATATACGCGTGTATGTAGATATATTGTATGTATTATATATTATGCACATATGACATATGTAGATAAGTGTATATATGTAGATATATGTACACCACTAGCTTCACGATTCCCCATGGCTCCTTGGAGGCAGATGCCACGGATGGCGTGGATGGCTCCCCATCCGTTCAAAAAGTGCTGTTACTGCCTAGCTTGAGAGGGTGTTAACGACTGTCGCAAATGATGATCATCATCATTATCATCATTCTCAGAGTGATTATTGCCTAAAATGGGCCCTTGTCATTAAGGCACCTTGATACATCTGGTACAGCTTGTTTTCTCAGTTTGATGGCGATTTGACGAGTCGAATTTACGTCCATGTCCAGCGTCCAGAAACCGTGGCAAATTCCACAGCTGCCTGCGATATGCCTGCGATATGCTCCTTCATCTATGTCTAGGGATCATATTCTTGAACTTGAGTTTGTTGGATGATTTTTTTTTGACTATCTTGATTGATACTCTGCTCATGTTTTGAACTTGAATCCCTAAACCATCCTAGTAGAATATTCATCACCTCCATCACCCAGGTGTGACCCTTATCCCCATTCAATGGAGGAATATGGAGGCCCTTTTCCTTAACAAGGGTCAGTGGGTTCCAGATCAACATGGCCAACATGGCCAACATGGCCAGCATTGATCCCTGATCCGGCCGGAGCCATCCTCGGCTCTCCATGCAGTGCTTCAGCTGAAATGAGCTGACCTGGAGGCACCACATCATATTCAGGGCCAAGATTTAGGGTCAAATCAGCCTTCGCTCTGTGATCTTTGATGGTTGAAGGAGACATGAGTGGTCTGGCCAGAATTTCTATGCAAGTGTCTTACCTTAAACATCCTTAAACTGTACATCCTATAGATCTATAGATCATCCATGATCATCCTTTATCGCATTGAAGTCATAAACACAGCTGAGATCTTCCACGGCACAGATCTTCCCAGGCGAGGATTTTTGTTCGTCCCATCTGTCGCTCCGCATGTCTCGCGATGGCTTGGTCTAGATGCTCCAGGCACTGCGACACAATGGCGTCCCGTCGATGCAGTCTATGGCAGCAATTCCAGACCGACTTCGATCTTAGATGATCTTAGATGATCTTAGATGATCTTAGATGATCTTAGATATGCAGAATGACATTTTCTGGGATTTCAGACATCACTGGTTGGTGGTTTGGAACATAGCTTGAATATTTTCCATTGAGTTGGGAATAATCATCATCCCAACTGACGAAGTCCATCATTTTTCAGAGGGGTAAGTTGAAACCGCCAACCAGATATTATTAAACTGTTGACCATGATTTTCCATCATTACACTATAGATCATTAGTTGATTTACCTATGAAACAAATGATGATACCAACCAGATCAAATTCAACTGATCTTAGATATTCCAGCTGAATTTCCTCCATGGACTCCGCATGGACTCTATGCCGCTGGAGGATTTGTGACTTGCTGTCACGGACTTGCAAGGTGCACCTGGGTGTGGCCATGCTTGCACTCGTTGTTTTTTTAAATCATCAATCATTACAAAACCAGTGTTTGGTGCCTTGAAACCATCAAATTCGGGATTTATCCTGATCTATCCTGATTTGTCCGATAAATTGTATATGAATCTATCCCTTGATTTGTTTACTGCTTGGTGAACAACTCGTTGATTTCTTTCACACCGGAGCTTGTCCTGCCATGGAGGCCATCGGGAGGATCTACAAGGAGTGGGTGAGAAATCTTCGGGCATTGATGGTTAATGGTTGTATTCATGGCTAATGGTCGATAGATGTTGGTGATAAAATGATGATTGGTTGATAATGATGAATGATGTTTTTTTCGCTTTCTGGTGAATGATGCTTAATTTCATTTACACCACTTTGTTTTTTCGAAGATGGCAATGGAAAATCCTCCCACTTACAAAGGATTGTCCTATTGAAACTTGAAACCATCCATTTATTGGGAATTACCCTCTGGCTATTTAACGTAGCTATAGCAAATCACCATTTTATAAGACATGTAAATCATAATTTATCTATGGTCCAAAGACAACTTGATCCAGCAGAATGGTCCATTGATCTCTGCAATTCCTTCTTCTTTATGGCTTCAGCTGTATGTTTCGTGAACAAAAATTGGGTCTCTATTTTCCGTATCGTTTTCTCAACATTTTCTGGCTTTCGATCCAGTTCGACATCAGAATTTCGATCCAGTCACTCGATCCGTAAAACGAGACGCGATGTTTCAGGATGCCCCCACCATTTGCTTGGTGGTCATCAGCATCGTGGCGCTGGTCATCTTGCGGTGGCCTGAGATGACCGGCTTACGTTGACCGCACATGATTTAATATGTTTGTTTAAATGATTGTATGTGTATGTGTATAATTTATATTTTTTTAACTATGTATATATATATATACACATAACGACACTTTTTGTTAGATACATGCCGATTCAATTCCAGCCTTTTGTTTGGCCCGTGTATGAGCCATAATTACCCCAAGTTTGTCCTCCCGGATTTCGTGATTATTCCGGTGCATCACTGAAATGGTTTATATTTCCTTGGTTGTCTCCCTATGTGTTTGTTTCTGAAAATAGGGCATCCAAAACTTGACGATTTATCATCATGAACCTTATTAAACTTACCATTTGGATCCATTTGGGGTTAGTTATACCCAATTCTTCGACACATCCAAATATATTCGTTGGCTATATATCGTATCAAGCACTATATTATATGCATATACATTATATATATATATATCAATATCCAATTTTGTATCCTAAAATTATCCCGATCATATCCCATTAAATCCTCAACGTGTCGTTGGTCACATCACATGCGCAATCATCTGCAATCATCAGCTCTTTGTGCCACTTCCGGAGCCAAGTCCATGGATGTAAAACAGATGAAGTTAATACAGATCAACAACAATGGGAATATGATGTTGATGTGGATATCATATGATTTCATATGTTTTCATATGATATACTGGGATAACAAAAAAATGAATTGCTAATATGATCATGAAACACAGTATTATAATGTATTATATATAACGGGCTACTGGGCTACCATCATCATATAATCATCAACAACAAGTGAGATCATTACAATGGAATAACATCAATCATTAGATCTGGATGGATTATAATGATATCACTGCGGTGTCACTGGAATGATGGGATTTGTATAGGGAATCATCCCCAAATGGCCTTACTATGCCTTATTTCAACTGTTTTAAGGTTGGATGTTTTTTTGCAATCCAGCTAGCTCAATGGTATGAATGTCAGTATAATTGTACGATTACATGATTATATGATATATAATTCACATTGTATATATATATATGTATATATATATATATATTTATCCATTAGTCCATCAACTAGTCCATCAATTGGTTGCTTACTCGTATCCATGTGTTTTTTTAGGGTTGACCCTGATTTTCGATTGTTCATTGCAGAAGTATCCGTATTTCTGATGGCTTACTTTTTAATTGTTGGTCAGTGTATATATCCATTATCCATCATTATCCATGATATCATCCCCATTTCGGTCCTAAACAGCTTATACAGCATTGATTCTGGTAATTTCTGTTAACCCAAATACATGATATATATATATATATATGATATATATGAGTTATATATATGATATATGTGATATATATATGATATATATATATAATATATATATATATGATATATATATATATATAATATATATATTATATATATATGATATATATATATATATGATATATATATATATATATGATATATATATATATATGATATATATGATATATATGATATATATGATATATATATATATATGATATATATATATATATATTATATATATTATATATGATATATATATATATATCATATATATATGATATATGATATTTATGATATTTATGAGCATATCGACATGCCTATATAAATAGTTCTTATAGCGTCCATCTCTGTAATCGTCCACTTTCCGAGGATCCTGGTGCTGTTCAGCACCTTCGTGGCGCGCGTCCTTGGGGTCAAATTGGCCGTGGCCTTTTGGGCCGCAGTTGGCGTTCGATTCATGGGAAATCCCCATTTTTAATAGGTAAACCATCTATAAATAGGCCATCTATACCATGGCTATGTTAAATAACCAGAGGGTAATTAGAATGGTTGAATATACTAGGATTAGAATTATACTAAGACCATTTGTATATATACTAAGTTAGTTGAATAATGTTGAATAGTGTTAATAATTTAATAATAATGGTAGTTGTAACATATATATATATATGTATGTATGTATATATATGTATATATATATATATATGTTTTTCCCACGTAACAGTCTCTAGTCATCAGAACAACATCTAACTGTGGGGCTGGTCCCCTGATTTCAATCCTGGAGATCCTCAAAAAGTACCACGAATTTGAGCAGAAATCCATAGCTGCTGGACATAGAATTGATTGAAGCAACCTGATTGTCGGTCAAGATATGAGATGTTTTTGGGCTCACAGATTTTAGTTGTTTCCGGTTGGGAATCTCTCATTTCTAGCTACAGCACCCACATTTTGAGAAAATTAGTTACAAATTTGACCGAAAGTGCTGATTGCCACGGTGAGAATCATTGGGTCTATCAGTTCCATCATTCGATTTTTCCCTGGAGATGGTCTCTACAAAGTGGAGCCCCCAGTTTTGGAAGTTGGTTTCTAAACTCATTCAGCTGATATATTCACCATAGATCACCATAGATGGCCGTAGGGGAAAAAAAAAAACAACAGTCACATGATGTCGCCCAGATCGTCGATCTTCTCCTTTTTTGGCTTTTTGCACGTCTGGTGGCGCGCGTGCTTTGCCCAGATTCGGGCACTCCAAATCGGCAGGGTCAAACTGAAGTATTTAGCCTTACCTATCATATCCTATCATACCTACAGATGCCATCTTTGCTTTGAATATATTTGTGTAGATATCATAGTGGGGGATCGCAATTTGGACTGATGTGTTATTTGGTCATCGCAAGAGAGTACAGATCAGTGTGAGGAACATCTTTCAGCTTGGGCGAAAAAAAATGGTTAGATTATTAACCATCCGTTATTAACCATTATGAAACCTCCAGGTTGGTTGCACTGTCAGGCGCTGATGTTCCCTGGTTCCCTGAAGATTTTCCAACGCAGTACGGAGGCCAATTACAGGCGGGGCGGCTGAGGCTGGAGAAAAGTAAGGTGAGGCGGATTGGTTTTTGGGAATTAGTAGATAGAATGTGGGAAACCCAATGCCACAAACAACTAACATTTGGGGATGATACTTACCACCCATTTATTTTGAATTTGGGGATGATTTACTAATGGGTTTGCAACATTACATAAGATGCCTAGAATTACAATGTGTGTTTTATGTTTTTTTCACAGAGTGATGGGGGGAAGTGAAAGTTCGGGTTCCTGTTCGTTGTGTATTACTTGGATTCGGCTGGTAGTGTCCACATGTTTTTGGTCCTATCGCCGTGATAGCGATTTGATTGTCTTGTCCCACCCATGGTGTTCCTCGTCATATTGAAATTATTGGGTGATTGTGCACATTTTATCTAGTTGGTGGTTTGGAACATTTTGTATTTTTCCATATATTGGGAATAATCCCAACTGAGTAATAGTTTTCAGAGGAGTTGAAACCACCAACCAGTTATGTTACTGCATGTAGCTAGTTATATCTCCACATTTTATAGCTGGTCACATTCCCACAGGATACTCATGAAGTTTATGTTTGGTTGGTTGTACAGTACCATGTCGTATCCCCATCTCCAACTAGTATGCAGCTGGTCACTTCCCCTTTATATCGTGATATATCCAAGTTCTTTGAATTGGATGATCTACACATTACATAAACTGGATGTATGAGACATATTTGATGACAAGTGTACTATCCGACATACATATGTAATCATATATATATATATATGATATATGTAGATGGTACATATATAATACATATATAATATATAGTTATATTGTTATATCATGGATTCCATGGATCATTAATTTCACTGGATTGCTTCAGTGTACTTCCCCTGGTTACATCAGTTGCAGTGGAAACTGTCTCTCCGTCAGGGTGGAGGTGGCGCGGCACTACGTGTGGTACGTCCGACATCTGTGGCACTTCCTGCGTCACGTCTTGGAGCCCGGAGGTTTCGAGATGGGCTTTGTGAAAAAACATGGGCCTTATCCCAGTTTTTCCATTGGTTAACCATTTTTTTTATTTTTTGCAATTTTTCATGAAGCTTAACCATTAGATTTTCCATTGAATGACATGTTTCATGATACAAAACATGTGTATTTCATGTACGGTATAGCCCATTTTCAACTTTTCAACAGAGCCAGATGGGCTTTGATGGATCCCACCTTCGCTGCGAATTCACAGCCATATATAGTGACATAGTGATGTCATTCCCTGAGAATCATGGAAAACCACCACCTGTTTCAGGTCACTTGGAGATTCCACATTTGGATCTTCAAATTCACCATGCTTCAATGGATTGGTTTAAGGGAAAATCTACAGGAAACCATAGATTTTCCCATTAAATATGGGTTTTTCCTGTAAAATTCCCCTTAAACCAATCCATTGAATGTTCCACTCATTTCTGAGTTTCCAGGTCTTTGGTGACACATTTGACACATTTCCCATGTGGATGCCATGGACCCAACGGACCTTGAACGGACCTAACGAACGGACCGAGGCATCCCATCTGTCTGACAGCATGAAGGGTGTGACCTTGGAGGGCTTGGTGTGGCCACCCAGTTTTTGGGATGACCTTGGAGGAATCTTCCAAGGCGGTTTGGGAACATGATATGTTGCTGTCAGTTGCTGGGAACTTTTAGGTGTTTTTTTCATGTGGACAATTCCACATCTGTAAAACTAGATCAACTCGTTTTCAGCAGGGTATCATCTAACAGATGTGAGAACTGAGATAAACAACCAGAAATGCTGAATTTACCCATAGATGTTTGGTGATTTATTGCCATCCAAACATGGGAATGTAGACAAATAGAGCTGATGAAACTGGCTAACCTGGTGAGTTGGGTGGTCAATCTTTTGCTGTTTTGGGGAATGGAGATATAGAGGAACCATCTAAAACCATCAAAAACGAGATTATTGGATCTGGAAACTAGATACTGGAAATGATGTAGCTAAGATCTATTGTTGACCGTGTATCTAGTTTCCAGACCCAGATGTTAGACCAAGGAATCTGTTTTCGGCATTTCAGGGCGTCCATCCAATCCTGGGATCATAGGTATCGTACCCAAAAGGATATAATTCATGATTATGTATTATATATAAATAATGATGCAATATGATGCATACATAAATGTATATAATATATATATATATTAATATGGATATATATATATATATAATTATATGTATATGTAATATAGAAATATATATGTGTATATCTATGTATATATGTATACACATATATGTAGCCGAATATAGCCATCATTTTGATGATATTCCCATCACGTCAACATCACTCAGTTTTGTTGAATACCAATCGACACCTGACACCAGATTTTTGACACATCACCACCTATGATTTGGGACACCATGGTACAGCCACTTTAAAAGTACACCCACCAAGTTGGTGTTTCCAAGTTGTTTTCCATCCTAGGCTCATGATCCTAGGTTCTTCAACCGCCAGATATCATCCAGATTATGGCTTTGTCATGGTTTGTCCATAAAGGGGTCCCCCAAAACTCCTGTTTCAATGAATTGTCCCATTAAACCAGCCATAATTTGACAGTATGCCACATTTCTGGACCAACCCAAATCCATTATTCATGGCTTCAGACATGTTAAATCACGTGGAATCCTGTTCTTTGCGTATGAAATCCCATAAAGTTGTGTCTTTTTTCAATTGAAACAACATATTTTGTTGGACAAACCCGAACGATCCACACCGGGTTCCCGAAGGATCCACCGAACGATCCCATCACCCAGGAGAAATCATGTTCTGCTGTGGTTTCATTGGCCAAGTCTTTGCGAACCCAAGAGCAACAGGAGGTGCTGCTGTTCCAAAAGCGTTGGTTGATCGGAAAGTCATCTATTGATGTGGATTTTTCGCAATTATGTATCTATAGGATTGTTGATTTATGGATTCATTGATACTATTACATATATATATATATATATGTATATAACTATATATATAATATACATCTTATCTATCTGTATATGTATATATGTATATATTAGCATATATATATATATATATTAGCTATACGCATGTCATAATTATCTACGTCCGTGTCATCAGCATCGACCACGGCAGGTGCGACTGAGTGCTCAGCAGCGAGAGGCCGGGCAGGATGGGATTCGCGGGGATCAAAGGATTCAAAATGAGCGTAGCTCGTTGGTGGTTTGGAACCATGGCTTTTTAATGTTTTTTTTTTGTGGTGTTTTTAATGGTGTTTTTGGGATATAATAATTAATAATGGTTTGGAACATGGATTTTTATAACTTTCCATATATTGGGAATGTCATCATCCCAACTGACTAATTAATATTTTTCAGAGGGGTAGGTATACCACCAACCAGCTTGAAAATGGTTCATTGATAGTAATTTATACATGATTCGTAATTATGTGATGAGGATGAGGATGAATAAGAAGATGATGAGGATGATGAGGAGGATGATGATGATGGTGGTGGTGGTGGTGATGGCTACCCTTTGCTAATTTAAGAGTTTGATATCAACAATCAACATTTTTGATAGGCAAATCATCTATACACTACTATCAATGAACCATTTTCCATAGCTATGTTCAGGTGGAACATTCATTTTTTTAACTGGCGACTTTTCTGGCCACTATACCAGGCTTTTGACTCATACCCGCGCAAGGTACTTCGTGCTGCAGAGGACGCCCGCAATTATGTGGAATATCTAATTGTGATTCATGCCATAATATTTCTAATTATATCTAATTATATAGAATGCTGGAATTGCTTCACAAAGCAGCAAACTGTAGAATATCAGAATTATGTGCTTCTTCACAGGATTTTTTACTCCCATTCACGTCACGTGTGATTGTAGTAGCGATTCTAGTGTTAGGGTTTCAGCACAAACCAGAGGATACTTGCAACTTTGGTTTTTATCCCAGGCATGAAAATATGATGCCACTTCACTGCTTTAATTCAATCACCGCCTTATCAATTGCTATAATTATATTCGCTATCTGATCCATTCTGCTAATACCTATATATATATAGATATGGCAGTGTGTCAAAACCTTGTACCCCTGGTGAACATCAAAATAGCTGGTAAATGGATGTTCATCCCACTAAAAATGGTATTAATAGGTATTGATCCATACCCATATATATATATATATAGATACGACTGCCAAATGTAGTTATTGGAGTTGTTATTGTTGTTGGGTGCCAAGTCATCAGGGTTTCATCAGGGTGTTAGCGACAGGACTTAGAGCGCTGGCTTCCAACGTTGCAGGTCGACGTTTCATCCATGGGCTTTTCTTGTGAAATGGTCTTAAGCGGAAACCATAGTTTTTGTATGTTTTTTTTCTGTCATATATGTATAATATACACATATGATATTATATATATATATCTATTTATACAGTGTATATATGTAATATAGGGGTTTCCTGCGATTTTCTTTTCAACCAATCCAATGATTTCAGGATCTGGGAATATTCGGAGATGTGAACGCTTGCAGCAGATGTTGGTTGATCTTGGCCAATCTTCCTGACACCGCCAGGTTCGACTAGAGCGACTACAAGGAGACCCCCGAGGGCCCCAGCCATAGCACCTGTGGAGCCTGTGAACCGGCCAGGACCTCCCTTGATTCTTCCAATGAGAGAATGGCTCCTCTCGGTGAGGTGCGACAAGTGCGACAACTCATCTTTGATCCTGACTTCATGCACTTCATGGCTTGTAGAATTCAACGGGATTTTTCCTCGGTTATTTTCGGGCTTACTATAAAGGCTTGTTCCCCTTAATGGGGGCTACTCAAGGTAATGGGGGGCACTGCTTTTGCAGTGGTATATATATGCCCTCAACGGCGTGAGCAAGTGATGAATGCTGGAAGTTAGCACCGTCTTCTGAGGGAGGTGCCCTCAGCGGTCATGAATGCTTCAAGCTAAAGCAACGTCTTGTTAGGGAGGTGCCCTCAGCGGTGTCAACAATTATACTCTATATTCCTAGGATTCTCCTGCGCTTGGTTGGATTCAAGAAAAATAACAAACATCCGACCCATCGGATAATATTTTTTAATCCCATCCCCTGTTCATATTAAATAGCCCCATTCTATGCTCCCAAAGATGTGGTTTCATCCCCTACATCCACCATGGTTTATGGGGGGGTGTTCAATATTTAGGGGGCGGGGAACCTTTGACTTCCGAGAATTGGGTTGGATTGACCTCTCTGGATTTTCAACCAATGATTGTTCGTGAACATATAATTATGTTTGTTGTTTGATATTCCAATGATGATCTCAATCTCATTTATTTTTTGTCATATCATGACATCATGATGCATATGTTTATTCTTGTTGGTGGTTTCAAATGTTCCATAATATATGGAATAATCCTTCCCATTGACTTTCAGATTTTTCAAGATGGTTAAAACCACCAACCAGTTATTGATAGAGACCATGGGTCAATGAACTGGTTATTTTCGGGAACCATTACAGAAACCCATGGAAGATTCCCTGGGAAGATCAGGCAAGAGGCGGCCAAATGCCGGATGTTTGGGCAGCCCAGGGGGCCGACATGTCCTGATGACGGCTTGGTGATTTCCAAAGAAGACAAAGAACTTCAGGGATGGAGTTAGGGAACAATATAAGATGATAGTTTGATCTAGAATGATATATATATGCATATATATATAATAGACATAGTTTCCTTTGAATCCTGATTTGGAAGGATTAAACAGAAATCGATGGAAGAATTGAAGTTGCACTGAGCAGGTTGAAGTGGTGCCCCTCTTGAATCCGACTGCATGCAAAGTTTCTATACTCGATCTATGTGAATATACCCATATTCTCGATTTCTTTTTCTTAATCATATATCATTTATATAAATATGCATTTCATGTAGAGAATTATATCTAAAAACAGTCTGGTGAGCTTGATTTTAATGACCTGGCACATCATGCTAGGTCTCATAGCGAACTCCTTGGAAGTCAGGGTCCTCAGGGGTCGGGCCGTGCAGACTTGGCTGTACATACTA